ACGCTCTGCCGTATGCGCAATGAAAGTCCTTCGGTGCCGGGGGAGGAAGACGATGTTGATGAACCCGCCTGCGCCATTCCGGGCGATCTTGTGCGAGCCGATACCACTCGGACTCCGGAATATCCAGCGAGCGCAGATCACCGACAATCGTGTCTCGCCAACGCTTCTTTGGCCCATGCCGTGGTCTGGTTGCTTCGAGCTCACCAAACAACACTTGTTGAGGAATCCGGGCCGCGTCCATACGGGCAACATGACCCAGCCAACGCAGACGGTACTCACACAGGAGAGCGCCAATGTCCTCAGGAAGACGCGCTCTCTGGGCTAGATCAGCAGTATTAAGATGACGAGAGTGCTGATCGCTCCTTGAGACTCCCAAGATGGAACGGACGCATGAGCGATGAAACAGATTCAGGCGATTCAACTGCCGGGCCTTCATGGGCCAAGTCTCTGCTCCATAGAAGAGGGTAGGGAGGACAATGGCCTAGTAGACAAGACGCTTAGACTTAATGGATAGGCCGCTACACCCGAAGAATAGCTTTTGGAGAGCGCCAAAAGCACGAGAGGCCTTGGCAAGACGGGAGGTGAGCTCCTTGTCCAGAGCACCGTCTGCACTCAGGACACTGCCAAGATAGGTAAAGCTGTCCACAACCTCCACGCTTCCTCCATCCTGAAGATCAATGGAAGGTGGCGGGTCAGAGCAGTTCACCGCCATGGCCTTGGTCTTCTGGACGCTCCCAGTTAGACCCCAACCCGAAGCACAGGACACAAACTCGTTTGTCATCGTCTGCAGGTGGCTCAAAGAGGTGGTGTAGAGAGCCGCATCATCAGCAAACTGGGACTCTGTGACGTCAGTGGAGGCCAGTCGAGACTTGGCGGTCCGATCCCCAACAAGCTTCCTGCCGACACGGTAGCGGACCCGTACACCCGGAACAGAAGACTGGCGATGCCACGAAGAGACCACTGCAGAGAAATACAGATTAAAGAGCGTAGGCGCCAGTGTGCAGCCCTGACGCAAGCCATTCCGGACGTTGATGTTGTCCGTGACGACGTTAGGGAGCCGAACACGCACCTCCATGCCTTCATGGAGCGACTGGACAAGGCCAAGCAGCTTCGGAGGAATGCCCAGATTGCGGAGCACAAGCCACAAAGCAGACCGCGGAATTGAATCATAGGCCTTGCGCAGATCGACGAAAAGCACATATAGCTCAGAATCATGCTCCACTGCCTTCTCCATCAGTTGTCTTGCGGTGAATACCATGTCACTGCAGACACGGCCCCTGCGGAATCCGCACTGGGAATCCGGCAGAACATCCTCTGCCACCGCCTGCAGGCGACCCTGAAGAACACGAGCAAAGACCTTGCCGACCACATCCAGGAGGCTGATGCCATTCCAGTTATCGCAGGACCGTAAGTCACCTTTCTTGGGGATAGGGACGATCTCTGCGTTTCGCCAGTCAGACACGGCAGAACCGCAGGTCCATACCTCATTGATCACATTGTGGACGCGCTCATGCAAGGACTCGCCACCAGCAAGAATCATCTCCGGGACAATTCCAGACTGTCCACCCGCAGTGCCTGGGTGTAGCTTCCTGATCGCCGATACCACTTCCTCAAAAGAGGGCGGGTCGTCAAGACTTTGCCTGATGCCAAGCACTGGCATGGATTCAATGACTTCCGCATCAAACACACTCTCAACATTAAGGACACGATCAAAGTGGCGATGCCAACAAGCTCCCAAACTCTCTGGACCGTCTGTCAAGTTGCCATTCTCATCCCGAACGCTGGATGTCACCACTGACTGTCGGCCAGTGTGCATTCCCCGCAACTTCTTGATACATTTCCAGCGGACAGAGCCGTCCCTCTGGGCGGCCTCAGCTTCATCCGTAATTGCGCTGATCCACGCCTCCTTAGCTAACCGAACAGCCTTGCCCACAGCTCGCTGGGCAGATCTCAAGGCCTTACGAGACGACGGCGTGCCACAAGAAACATAGTCTGCGTTAGCTTGTCGCTTGACGGCAATGGCACGCACACACACACACACACACACACACACACACACACACACACACACACACACACACACACACACACACACACACATAGCACTAATGAAGACATTGCCCACACATCAATCACAAACATGCACCGCTGGAAACCAGGCGCCTACCTCATTCATCTTCCTCTCACGTCGGATGAGGTTGCGTTCAATCTTCTTCAAATCTTCCATCACAGATGCAATCTCCTCGCTAACACAGAGAAAAGCAACCACAGAACCACAGGCACCACCATTGAATGTCAAGCAACAGGAGCAAGGCCGTGTCCATTGCCAGATTACAGGAGTGGACGTAGCCATGACATGGAGATTAAAGCGTGACATCCCACCCCACACCATCTGAAATCTCCTTCCCCCGCCCGCCCATGATATAGTGATATTACAGTGCTTTCTCTAGTTCACTGCTGGGAATAATGACAGAGACACCCAACTCACCTCCATTCTGAGCGCAACTTGAGAAAAGACTGTGCCGCGGTCGGGAAATCCTCTACAGGACAACAGAAGAAGCAAACATTTCCTTAAAAACAAGAGTGATAAAAACCGCACCATGCATTGAATGTGACTCTTTATTCATCGGGTCGGATTTTTCTTGCGGCAGGTTCTGTCAGTACAAGTTGCAAAGAAAGAAGGAGAGAGGGCTACTCCCGGCCAAGAACGAACAACGCAGAAGCATGCGGAAAACACTATACTAGAACAAATCAGAGTACAGATAAGACTATACTAATCACAAGAACAGATCAGAGTACAGACAAGTACACCAATGGGTATGCCAGTTGCATGTGCACCTCTTGTGCCAATGGATTGCGTTAGAAATTACAATTTTGTCCCGCAGCACCATTCCGCCATTGGCTGACATACCCACTAAAAGGTAATTACAATGTAGGGATGGGTGCTTGGAAGAACATATGCGTACAATGTGACAGCCCTGGTGGTGCTGTGTTGAAGTGGATTCAAAACTCAGTATCTCCCCACTAAGCTGGGCATAACCTGTCAAAAGCACAACTGTACATGTACATACGATCATCCATCATGAAGTTGATGGCTGCCAGAATCTCCGGGAAACCAGGCCGATCCTGTTTCCACATAGGAGGGAGAAAAAGCAACAGAGCACAATGCCCACTCTTTATGATGATAATGCATAAATCACATACACACACCATGGCACTTGCACACACACACACACACACACACACACGCACGCACGCACACGCACACACACACACCACATACATACACACACACGCGCGCGCACGCGTGCACACACACACAGCACCGACTGGGCATCTCGTGGCACAACCAAAGGCTACTATGGAACACTGTTCGGAGACCAAAGAGAAAAAAAGTTCAAAACCCTCCTTTACCTCAGGCTCCTGGTGCCAACAGCTAGTCAGCAAAGTTGCTATCTTCTCAGGACAGGATGATGGAATTGTTAGCCGCTGCCAAGAGGAAGAAATGGAGATACACGTGCGCACAGAGGAAAGTACAGCACTGCAATTATAACAAAGTGTAGCCGAAGGAAGTAATGGCAGTGGTACGAGAACTCTTCTTTCCTGAAGCATGTGGGTACATGGCCATGATTGACTGGGTGCACTGCTCTAAAGCTGTATTTCTTGTGACTACACCTTGTAGCAAGAACACCACCCAGCATAACTGAAGGAGGGAGATACACCCACCAGTCACAGTAAAAACAAATGAATAAGAATGAGAAGGTAAGGTGAGAATGAGAAAGTAATAACAACACAAGAGTGTAGTGGAATAGTGTAGTGGAATAGACAATAGGTCACTGTAGACGTGAATATCGCAAAGGAAACAAAATCCGACTAACCGTTTCATGCGTCACGACCAGCCAGGCAATCTGAATGCTTTCAAACCCATCAAACGGAATCTTGCTGGTAAGCAGCTCCCAGACAACCTGTAAGAACAAAGATGTTTTATAACACCAAACACATAATAGTAGCTCAATGCTGCTGTAAACCGTGTCCACTGGCAACAGTAGAGGGATCTTCTCATTCTTTTCTTTTTTTCATGAAGATCTCTTTAGAAAGTTCTTGGGCCAGGTCAGTTGTATTCAGTATAGCACTCTACTGCTATCTACAACCCATGGTAACATGAACTGTCTGGTGATGCTGATTACAAGGAAAAACGCTCGAGCACTGCAGAATATCTAGATGGCAGTGTTGGTCAAAGCCGTAAAGGTTGCAGTGACACTAAGCTAGTTGCTCAGCACAAGAAATATATTCAAAAGTAGAGGCATGAAAAAAAGAAGAAAAAAGTAACATAAGCAATTGAATACATTGTACAGCGCAACTCTTCCTCAATGCCGATGGCACAAAAACGATACTGATACATGGCGATCCATTTACGGTATTGATACATGTACACGACTGCACTAACAAAGCCCTGTTTCTACTCAAAGATGGATGTGCCAGATGCGCTACTTACCACACCATACGAAAACGCGTCTGTTGGGGGTCCGACCTTTCCCTGCTGTATTGCCTGGGGAAAACGACAACAAATACCAGATTAGATTGCTAGTAGCTGCTGCGATAGATCGTTGAGGTGTTTTACGGTAGAAAGCTGCCAGATCGGTTTAATGAGTTCTTCATTAGTTAGCACTGTGACATTGCTCAAGCAAATAGCACGCAGCACTGTTTGGGGGAAGGGAGAGGGAGATGGAGAGAGAGAGAGAGAGAGAGAGAGAGAGAGAGAGAGAGAGAGAGAGAGAGAGAGAGAGAGAGAGAGAGAGAGAGAGAGAGAGGGGGAGTGGAAGTTCTGCGGTGGTCACTGTCCTGTGGTAGGTTTGTCACACGCAGAGGGTTGATTCACTGCTTTCATGTCCAGCATCAATCAGCTTAGAAGCAAGAATTTCCAGCAAAAATGGTGATATACATGCACAAGCGCTACACATTCATCTTCCCCCCCCCCCCCCCCTCTATGACGTACGTGCTGCCCAGTGGCTGGGGCAAGCAACCAGGACACATGGTTGGCTTTTTTGCTACAGTTCCAATGACATGCATGCCATCCACGAGTGTCCGACTGAGTCAAACAATGATGTTGCACTGGCTTGGGCAGAAACACGAAGTGCAAACATATCACAAAAAGCAGCACATGTCCCTGGCTCCAGTCCCGGTGGTAAAAGTCAAATTTTCGGCAGATATTCGCCATACCGACTAGACTATGTAAGCATACACGAAACATAGACATACTTCTGGTGACATCCAGGGAAATGTCCCTGCCAGTGTCATCTTTGTGGTGGCCTTCAGATAGCGCGCACAACCGAAATCACATATCTGACACAATGCAGCACAGAGCAGTAGCAGCAAGAAAACAAACAATGAGCATGATGAGACGAATTTGAAATCGAACACCAAGTCAACAATATTACTGTATAATTATTGTTGACTAAGAGTCCGGTGGTATGGTATCCGGTTGAGAGAGAGGTGTCCAGATAAGAGAGCTTTTTAAATGTACATGAACTTTCTTCACAATCGCCAGCGCTCGGAACACTGATATGGTCGAGGCAAAACTTGTGAATGCATGTTATACTAGGGTAGCAGGTGCACAGGCCTTAGCATGGCAGAATAATCGAAGACACGCCACTGCACTATAGGTGTTGATGAACTCAACACAGTCACACTGTTGGGTGAATCTGCAGACAGAACTGTTTTGCCCTTTACAGATTTCTCACTGCAGCACAGAGAAATAGGGCTGAATCTGGTATCATCAGTTGCTCACCTTTGCACACATATCCGATGAGAGAACAACTGCGCATGCGAATCAACGTCCATGCCGGTTGCACGTATACCACGGTATGCACGCACAAGTACACACACACACACACACACACGCACGCACACGCACACACACACACACACACACACACACACACACACAGAGTACTATTACAGAAGCAACAATGCTGGATAGTCGGATATTAGACACTACGGTGCCTATTGAATTTTTTTATGGATAGAATACTATCCCAAGGGTACTAGTCACTAAAGGGTTGCTTCTCTGTTTTACTTTGCTCCCACTGCACTGGTGCCTGTCAAAGCCATTACAGTGTAGATGCACTAAGTACAAGGAAGATCTACGCGCCCCTACTTTTCTGCACAGCACTGGACCACACGAAAAGCTCCCAGAGGTTTCCAGCATACTAGTACATGTGCATGTAGTCATGTACCCTTATGTCACAGGCATTATTCGTGTTTCAGAGCTGTAAGTACACGGTATTACAATGTAACATGCATGCTAAGGCAACAGCGCGGGGAGTGAGTGGGTAGCAGCAGCAGCACCACCACCACCACCAGCAGCAGCAGCAGAGGCGACAAAAGTAACAGCAGCAGCAGCAGCCGCAGCATCAACCTCAACATCAACTGCAGCACCAACCTCAGTAGCAACCCCAGCAGCAACACCATCCCCAGCAAAATGCATTATTTCACAGGAAAGGGACCTGGTTTACAATCCCAGTAGTGACAGTCAACTTTCTCCTAACTTAGGCGTGTTATTAACTCAAACCTACAAGTAGACGAGATCAAGAGCGACCTACCATTTCTAGACTTCAGGTCGCGGTGAATTACTGGCTGGGGAGCTTCATTGTGAAGATAGTTCATACCTGTACCACCACCAGAGATACAGCAAAGGTGATAAATCAAACAGTAAGCAAGCCTAGAGGACCGACAGTACTTGAAGCAAGAGAATAGTTATACTACATAGAAGCATGTACTTCCATGAACTTATTTTCAATTCAGCAAGTATTCTTCCACAAAAATAATAACCTTGCAGCCCAGATCCTGACAAGCTGAAACAGAGTGACATGCAGCATGGATCAAGCGGGGAGATTTACAGACCGTTGGTTAAGCTGCGGCTCAGACCGGTAAATGGGCAAGCGGATCAAACCAGAGGGAAGTCAAATGGCCCAAACGAGGCATCACGTACAAATAATATCGAGGCTGAACTATACGTAGTCTCTCACCATGACTAGACTGCAGAGCAGATGGCAACATACCAATACATGTAGCTATAATGATAACCCGTGGAAACTCACCCATGGCAATCTGCCGTGCCCAGGTCAGAATCTCTGTGCAGTCAAGTGTATGCTCGGCCAAGTAGTCATACAACGACCCATTAGAGGCATACTCTGCAAACACACCGGGAATAATAAGCAAGTTTCAAACACAGAAGCAGACCTAGTGGTCGGGACAGGAAGGATGCCAAACATAGATTGGTCGGAGGGGAAGAGAAGAAATGGCACACAAAACTTCACATGTCAAAGGGACAAGGCACCTGACATGGCCCGCATGGTATTTATCAACGTTTTTCCGTCCATAACCCCTGCTACTGACTAGTGCCATGCATCCTTATATCAATTCAGGTACAGACAACAATGCACAGCATAAACCTTGTTCTGCCTTCTGGGCAACAGTCTAGGATGAAAAAGCAAGAGTGCTGTTACATATATCTGCTCACCTGTCACAAAGCACTGGTTTGGGTCAGCAGTGATGGCACCATACAGCTGGATAATGTTGCGATGAGCCAGTTTGGCGAGTATGGCGACCTGTGAAAATAATTACAAATAAAACATGCTACATGCTATATTCTCCAGGGTAGCAGTTGCTACGATGCTGTCCAAAGTTACCAATTATTTTCGGTTTCGGTTTCCAAAACAAAAGGTGTTTGCTTCGGGTGGGTGAGCTGGAGGTTTTTCATTCCAAATATGCCGGTTTCATTTCAGTTTGAGCACTGTTTGGGTGATATTGCCAACATCAGGTCAATGTGGTCATGAAACCGGCGTTCAGTGCCTGCATAGTGGTGGGAATGAACTTGTCAACTCAAACACTTTCCTAGATGTTGAACGGCCTCTGCTGCGATGACGGCTACATCATAGCTAAGTGATAGAGCATGCCACCGTTGGTCTATAGCGAAGCTGCCTGGTTCAAGCCCTGGTCATGACAGTCAATTTCTCTTCAGACTTTTTATCCCTTTTCAACTCCCCCAACTAATGAATACTTTCCTAGAAAAATACTATTCAAAGCGCCGTCCAAATTGATGGAGCTGAGAGTTGAATTCACTATTTTGCTGGATTTCTTTTTCCCAGAAGAAAGGATGTAGGTGGGCCGTCTGTTTTCCTTTTGGAAGATTAACAATTTTTTTTAACCCCAGACAAAGACCAGGGGCAGACGGTACTTACCATCACAATCAAAGGCAATGAACATGCCGGCAGTGTGTCTAGCATGTTTGGGGTGCAAACCGGTTAAACTGGATTTCCTGCCAATTTTTTCCAAAACGAAAGTGCCGATTAACCCCCTGAAAGATACGGCACGGCATACCCGCTTCCACAGTACCGACAGTGACTACAAACCATTCTTTCCTTTCTCTTTTTTTAAGCCTACTGTATTCATGCAAATCAGTTATTTTGCGTGAACCTGTGTTTCTTTTGTGGGAGTAGATATTGAAATTTGTCTTCCTCTCAAGCTCAAATCAGAAAGTAATGAAATTCGAATTTTACAAATTGGAACCCCAGATCCAATATCACAACTCAATCAAGTTTTCACTGGCAACTTCAGTTTCACTAATTGATTCCAAAATGTTGGGCTATCGTGTCACACCGACACGAACGATGTTCGGTGTTTCATACCGACATTCGTAAAATATGTACTCAGCAGGGAACAGAATCTGCTGAATAATTCTCTTTCAACTTCTAAGTTAGTAACTTGTTAGTTAGTTCAAATCATTCACCTCTGTCGATGATTCAGGCGTGGCATACTTCTTTATAGCAACGATTTGATTCTTGGGTTTCCAGAATCCGCGATATACCGAACCGAAAGCACCTCCACCAATAAACTCTAGAAATTCCAAATCATCGATGCTGATCTCTATTGCATCCATGGCTGCAGCATCGAGACAGCTATCAAAAACTTTTTACAATCAACTCTCTCCTTCCCAAAGGGCAGTGAATAAACGAGACCAGCTCCGATCTCTTGACATGCCCCTTCTCACCAATTCCTCTCACAAAATGTGAGAGGAGTTGAATCGTCCTCCTTCTTTCTGGGCCGAGGAATACTAATACGACGCGAACAAGAGGAGCAACGCCGCATTGTCGCTCGTACGAGTACAGTCCGTTCAGGACTGATCGGCGCAGCACTAGCTGCTCATACAGTAGTCAGTACTGTTCTCAGCCCAGCCTCTCCTTGAATTCTAATCGTCTGTGCGTGTTCTACGCGTGCACATAATGTGCTTTCCTCTACTTGTGTACCATGGTGTTCGAGGTGCCATGCATAGTGCCTGCTACATGTATACCCTCCAGATTGTCACTGTGTCAGTAATATCGTGATTACAGTACTGTTTATGTAGTAAGCATCACTCATCAGTACAGGTAACACAGTAGCGGCTAGTTGTTCAGTACTAGACTGCGCAGTGTCCCATGACCATTAGGCCTCCGCGGAATATGCTCGTATTTTTACCGATAATTCCTTTGAGCATGCATTGCTCAAATTTTCGACCGATTATTCCCGTAATTCCACCGATAATTCTCACAATAATGCTTTTTTTCTTCCCTTTTTTTGCAGATACCGAGCCGCGTACGGGTTTTTTTGCCACTTGTACGGGCAAAAAATCACGGTTCGCGTGAATTATGCATGAAACTCGGCTGGAAGCTTTTTTTTCTTTCTTTTTTGAAATACCGGGCGATCAACTTCAGGATCACAAGCGTTTTGGTACAAATCAGGGTGTTATAAATGGAAAAAAATTGAAAAAAGGGGGGCATTGCTCAAATTTTACCGATTATTCCACAAAAATTGCCAATAATTCCCGTTTCAAAAATCACACCGATAATTCCCGAAATTATGCCGGCATATTCCGCGGAGGCCTAATGACCATGATAATGATGACTGCCATATGCCTGTCATAACTCATGGCATGGGCATCTTTGGAGAGAAGAAATTTGTGAAATGTTACGTGAAAGAAGGAGAAACAATCACAGAGTCCTTTAATAGCTTTGCCAAATATTGGGTTGACTTATTTTTTGGGGGTGCATGGCATTGCCATTGGTGCAATTGGTTCTCTGCGATAATCACGAGTTCCTATAACGTGACTGTCTTTAATATCATTTCCGGGTGCTGGCATGCCATGATGATGATGTCAGATTCGATGTACCATGCGCAGCCAGGTCACATGATGCCACGACTCACAAGCACAGTCCGACCGACTCCCATGGTGAAAGTCACGCATCCGCAGGCCGTATCGAGACTCCAGAGTACTAACATTGGTACAGTGTATTGGACGCGTGCAGCCCAGGACGAGAGGGTTAGCATTCAAACTAGAGCAGTGCAGCAGAGACACTGCTGCGAGATTACAATATCAGTTGCACAAGCCACCTGCAGTGCGTGTATAAATGAAAACACACTCGCACATGTTTTCTCAGCCGTTGTTTATCTACAATTGTATGTACAAGTAAACATAAAAGATATGGCAAATCCAGTTGCACTAAGCTAGAGCGCCACCACGGCAGTCCTAGAAGAAACAACTTCTAAACAAACAATGCCCGGAGCAAGAATACACAACACTGTCACAACAAACAAAAAAGAGATGAACACGGACCAAAACAAGTGAGTTGTGGCGACAAGGTGTAAAGAGCATACCGATATGATCATTTTTTTTTAAAGCAGGCAGCGTATAAAACAAGCCAGCACGGACTAGCGCGCCGCTGACTGCACTGAATATAAAATCAAGAAGGCTACATCATTGTGCAGAACTATTACAGACTACGATCTACACTATGGAGGTGAAAGAAACCATTTGAAAAAAAAGTCAACAAGAATAGCATGGCGTTCATTGAATGGCAGGTATACAGTCACTAGTTATTGACAACAGCACGGCTTTACGCTGCACCACTACCATTTACGCTGGCAGTTGAAGAGTCATCAGCAGGAGTAGACTCATCGTGGGTTGCTGGAGCGGCTTCAGTCTCTTCAGCCTCTGATGAGCGTGTCGGCGCACAACCACTGGCAGATGAAGGTGCAGGTTCCTCATTGGTTGCTGAAACTGCACACGCAGAAGCAGCTTTAGAAGCAGATTCAGAGCTGTTTGCTGTACCTGTTGCTGCACTAGTGTCAGGTGCAGCGGCCGAAGACGGAGTACCACCGACCCTCATCACCTTCATCACGCCCGTATTCTCTAGCTTAGTCATCAGCTCGCCCAGCCTCTCGGCTTCAGCTTCCTTCTCCTCTTCTGTCATTCCAGCCAATGGATCAACCTGGTCCTGAGCTTCTGGCCCTCCTGTCATGACATTGACCCTGCTCTCTCTATACTCTTCCGTGTCAGAATCGTCAGAGTCGGACGAATAGTCAGCAGTTTGCTCTCCTTTTCCACCTCCCAGCATACCACGCTGCAGCAACAGTCCAGCAGCATTACCATATCCAGTGTACTTGACAAACCGGCCAGCATTCTCCTTGCAGAGTACAAACAGAAACTCGGCAACAGTGGCGGCCAGATTGGTGTGCGGTGACGTCATGAGTCGGACAAGGCGTGCTTTCAGACTGTTACCTTCGTCGGGCCGACTAACAACATTGCCTAGCGTTGGCAATACTTTCTGACGCCAGTACCGCCGAGCAACTGGACAAGCACGTGCACAGTTGGCAATGGCCGTGACAAGAGGGACAAGGTCATTGCCCGTCGCTGATGAGATGTTTGCCGAACACAGGCCGGTGGTTTCCTCGTCAAGCTGACGTAAGAGCTGCTCGGCAGCTGTTACATTACGATAATTATAGATCACGGTGTTACCCGTTCCAAACTGAGAATGGGTTTTGGGTAGGAACAAATCGTCGCAATTTGGAGGCATGTTGATAAGCATGTAGGTTACCTGTGAACGCAGTGGGTTGATATCTTTGGGCCCCATTAGGTGGGGAGAAGACAGCACAATGCGTGCCATCTTTACCAGCAGCATCACACTCTGAATCTCTTTTTCCGTGGGTTCCTTTGACACTTCCATGCTGATGTTGAAAACACACTTCATAACCTCTGCTGCAAGGTCTCCGCACTGCTGTGAGAGCTCACCAATCGTGGCACAATCACCTTCATTCCCTGTTAGTCCCAACGCAGCTAGCACTCCACCACACAGTCTGTGCAGTCCATCGGCTTGCCGTATCGCGCTTCGCAGCGATTGGTTTACGGCTGACATCAGGAAGATCAGTCGTGCACTGTAGAAACGAATATCATACTCAGCATCTTTACTCGAGATTTGCTGAAGAAGGTGGGCCACAGCTCCTTCACATCCAGCAATATTGTCCGAGAATGAGTGGTGCTGGTAAGTCAAATTGCATAAACACTTGAGAGATTCGACAGCTGTGGCGTCCTCAACAGGAATATCACTGTCTGCACCGGTAAAGCGCACTAAACGCAATGCACCCTTCTCTGTTAGGACATCCCGAAATCCAGCTTTCTGCCTCGTCAGAATACGCAAGGCGTTCAGTCCGTAGCGCTGACCATCACGACAGACAATATCACTACCCAGATACTGAAAAACGTCAGAAACGAAATTAGTTACCACAGAATCAGTTTCCTCGAATTGGAATTTATCCTTGTTTTCCCCGACGTACGTTTGCAAAGCCTCGAGACTTAGGCTGGCATCACCAGATTTCAAAACGGAGGAATACGCCTCCATGGTGTGCATCTATTCTAGAGCTATCAACACGACCATTTCTCACCAAACACAAAATCCATTCACGATATAAACCGTTCGAACCAAGGATCGACTACACTTGAACTGAAGTGAAGAAGACTTTCGGATCTCCAGTCACGCGTGGTGCGCGCCCGCGCCCGGGGGCGCCCGCGCGTCTGCTGTCATGCCATGCTATCAAGCAGGGAGTAGTACAGTGGTCCCTCTATAATCCGGCACCATTTGTGCCACGAAAATCTGCTGGATAAGGGAGGAGGTGCTGGATTAAAATCTGATTTACTGCTGCAATGTGCATGAAGAGGACATTTTGGCTACTGAAAATTGTGCTGGTTTATCGAGGGTGCTGGATTATAAAGTGCCGGATTAGAGAGGGACGACTGTACAATACAGTATTGACTATTGTACTACTCCCTGCTATCAAGTCAAGAGTCCATAACCATGATAACCCTTGATGCTATGCAGTGCAGTACAGATTGACTGCACCACCACCATGTGCATGCATAATATGCGCGGATGCAGTACCAGTCTACCGACTGCATGCACCGCGGTCTGTACGATGTGGTACAGGGAGCCCTACACATACCGGTACGGTATAATGACTGTGTAGGGCTCCCTGATGTGGTTCAGTACTGGTAAACATGTCTGTACCTCAGGACCTATCTAGTACCTGAGCATGCATGCTTCATTTACCTTTCGCAGTTTGGTGGTGTTCTTGTTTTGTCTCTTCCGCAAAGTTTACTTGAGGAGGAGGAAGTGACTTCGGGAAGAAACCGAAACAATTAGGGCTTCACCGTGTATACTATTGCTACCACGGTCCGTATGGAGCGTGGTCCTATTTTCTTCTTACGGCAATATTCCATACCAGAACTCTTCAGCTAAAGCCAATAGACACGGGTTCGACATATCACCGAACTCCTCATTCCACTAGGTTTATTTTGTATCCAGCTGCCTCTAGGACGATAACCAGTAGTCAGTAGTCCGAACATGACTAATGAAAAGGAGGGTCCACGGCAGTCTTTGGTAGGGGAGGAGATGAATGGCGATGATCTTTGCGACGTTTGCGACTTAGATCCGAACTCTCCCTTCGAGCCAGAGACACCCATCCAGCTATCAGTGAATTGTGATGGAATTTCGTTGGCGTCCGGCAGCATCTTCGAGGCAGATGTGTTGAGTGTGGCCAGCGGGGCTGGAAATGACTCAGCGGAGAGCCGATACCATTTGGTCAATGTCGCTTTACTCATTGCCGGATTCTGTTTCAACTTCACAGCATTCCTTGCCTTGCAGAGTCTCCAAAGCAGCTTGAATTCGGAAGGTGGAATTGGACTGTTGGGCTTATCCACGATGGCGGCTGCCCAGATGATAACCAGCTCGCTAGCCAGTGCTACAGCCATCCAGTATTTTGGAGAGCGGAGACTTTTACAGTTCTCTGCCATTGGTTTTGGCAATTTGATTCTCGCCAATGCCCTACGGATAAACACGTATGTGGTGTTTTCCTTCTGTTTCTTTGGATTCCTGTCGGGTACGTTCTGGCCCAGCCAGTATCGCTATCTTACCAGGAGTGCTAAGGCGTATGCAAGAATCACCAAGCAACCTGTAGACACGGTGTTGACTCGCTTCAACGGCGCCTTCTTCACATTCTTTGTCGGAACTCATTTCACTGGAAACCTCATATCTTCACTTATCCTGGCTCCAGCCCATCAGGATGGTGGCACAGGATTGCCCAATGCAACAGATCCGCTCGGAAATTTCTCACATTCCAACATCTCCATGGCAGCACATCACTCTACTGCCCCGCAATTGCTCTATCTCAACGAGTCAAGCAACATGTCTCTCCCCACGCCTTCACCTTGGTACTTTGGTGACTGCCCTCCATCGGCTGCCAACTTCAAGCTCTTGGTGGACGAACAGAGTCGGCTGACGTTGATGTCAGTGTTTGGTGGCCTTGTGACCCTCGGTGCGATATGCATGCTCAGCCTCCGTCCTGTCCATAAGCCGACTATTTCTTCTCAAAGCCGATCTGAAGCACACCTTATAGTGGAAGCAAGTCCAGATGAGCTGGCAGAAGCCTCTGGTGCCAACGAGAAATCTAACCAACCAAAGACCTTCTGTGAACGTTTCAAATCATCTGAGACGTACAGCACGCTCAGAATCATTGGCGACCCAAGACTTTATCGTCTGATTCCCATCATTATCGTTGCCGCTACTCTGAAAAGCTTTGTGTATGGTGACTTCAATCATGTAAGTACTCTATACGATGCGACCTGTCATGTACCGGTTAAAGGGTCTATCCGGGTCCACACATCTCGTACAGATAATGCTGCTTATATGGAACAGTACTATCTATAGATTATTGAGTTCACTACAGTCCATTCACAAAAAGATGGGCTCTGGCGAGCTCCCGTATTTGGCGATTTTTCAAGATTTTATCGTACACAGTGCAGTGCTGCGAAATTTGGAAAAGGGTCCAAAAAGGTACCTGAACTGGGATTCGAACCGCACAATGCACTGTTGCAGGCAGAGTCAAACGGCCTGGATTTTGATGGTTTCCCAATTCAGTGCTCTTGGGGCTAAACCTGGCCGAAATCCTATCCTTGTTACGGCTTGCTTTTTGGAGAAATAGACTTCAGAAACATAATTGGAAGAGGATTCCATAGGGGATAGCAGAAAAATTCTACAAAAATGTTTTATGGCCAAAAGCTAGAAGTCCATCTTTTTCTGAATGGACTGTAGTAAATGCATGGAACGAAAAGAGGTGTACATTATCCATATATGGATGGATTGTGTGTATGATGATTGTAATGCATTTACAGAAAAACCTGTAACGACCACCTCTGGGGCCAGAGAAAGCGGTCTTTAGGGGCAGGTGGTCCTTACTTAGAGGTTTGCACCGCACAACCATTATTATTATGAACGTGTGACCGTCCGCGCCTGGCAAAGTGATCTGTAGTACCAGGCTGATCGCTAGTCACGGTGGCCTTTAGTTACAGGTTTTACTGTATATTGAACGTACCAACATTCGACCCTTGAGCTTGGCACGCTGGTAGAATTAGAAATCCCGCACGAAACTCCGGCTTACATAGGGAGTATGTGTGATTCCTGTTGAGAATTCGACGTTAGCAAGGCAGTACAGGTCTACCTTCGTTGGTAAACAATCGAAGGGTTCAACATTTTTGTCTTATAGCGAGTAGTATCTACTATCAGTACTTGCACATTTTCTGATGTTTGACATCATACATACATGACACTGTATCCGCCTCAGAAATGATGTTTCCACATTATAAAACACACCTTTCCCCAGACCCCTGTACAAGACAAACCATTATAGGACAACTTTTCCATCAGACCCTCTATACAAGACAATATGAAACATCGATTGAGCTAGAAAGAAACAAATCCAGAGGATGTGTAAAACAGAATTGTGTTTTCAAACTTCACGCCAAGCTGCTGACAGCGAACATTGAACCATCCGAGTAAATTCGTAGTCCATGGCCATTTGCTTTGTCTTGTAAAGAGGGAATCAAACCTGTGCGACAGCTAAAGGTGACATTGTAACGCATTTCGTCTACAAATGAGTTATCTCTTATCCGGACTTGCATGTACGACTGTTATACTTGTAATTTCGTCAGAGGATTTTGGATCGTTGTCTACTAATGAGGTTTGTCTTGTAACCAATGTCGTAATACTGGCCAGTTCAGAGTGCATGAAACCTGTGTCTGTGGTGAATATTGCAACTCTATGTGACAGGCGTGCATAATATGTTGGGGGTAAATGTTTGAATAATTAGAATGGCTGGGTAATTATTCATTTTTCTTCGGCGACTTGGGGTGTGTTTTGAAGCACTGTTTTCAGTTTTTGCCTAGGTTACAATTTTTGCAGAATTTCCAGGGACTCTTGTACTTGAGCATGGCTCCACCATTTATTTTCAGGGGGTAGTTCACACGTTCTCCTTTTCATCACCTTTAGGCCATGGTAAAAAATAAAGTTGATTCTCAGGTCATGAGCCTGTGAAAATCGGTGCGAGCGAGCGATTTTATATCTTATTTCCAAAGACAGGGTCACACATTATGTACGTCACAGGTTCATATAATTATTTTATTATTCAGGCCAGGGAGTAGAAAAATACCGGTATTTTACTACTCCCTGATTCATGCCTTTCGCATTGATCGTTTTCATGTGCGCATATACCATGGCCTTTATGTGTAAAGTATTGGTTTTTGAAATTCACTGGAGCAAATATACATTGTATTACTACAGTTGAACATCGACTATCCGACCATTCGATTATCCGTAACAGTTTTTTTTGGGCGCACGTGCCGTAGAGTACGCACTGTGCATGTAGTGAGCCATTCAAAAAATACGAAAATTTTGAAAAGTAGCACTCTATTCTACATGTATTTACAGTGTGTTTTCTTATCCGGAACATTTGCCTTATCTGAACACCGCCTGACAGTTGTCTGCCCAGAGGTGGTCGGATAATCGATGTTCAACTGTATTAGAAATAGCACTGTAAGTAGGGATTTCAGCGAACACACTGCGCAGAGGGTTTGCGCAGTTATGATGTAGTCGAATTTTGTACATGTCACATGATGTCAGCATGCCACGCGCGCGCGCGGTAGGCCTTTCCGGATTATGTGTTTGCATATTTTTGCATTTTGGGGGTCAAAATGCATTTTGTCCATTTTGACACACTTTGGGCCAGGGAGTCGTAAAATACCGGTATTTTACAGGGAGTCGTAAAATACCGGTATTTTACGACTCCCTGCAAGCGATAGGTACTTCACGATCACCATGAATGATCACCATGGGCATGGTGCCAAATGTCACACGACTACGGGACCCTCACTTAATTTTTTGCCGACTACCCGCAAAAAACACATTTCGACACGCGTGTGTGCTGCTGCACGTCTGCGCGTGCACGACATGTGTGATCGTGAGCTGGCTGACAAGTGAGACTGAGAGCCAGGGAGTCGTCAAGTACCGGCATTTGACGACTCCCGGCCTGGTGAGACTGAGAGCATGCATGCATGCATGTCCAGCTGGCGAGAAAGGGAACCTGTCGCCATTTTGTTACCATAGCAACGGCGGCATTTTTGTGCTTTTTGGGTAAATTTTTGCATTTTCTTTTAAAAAATGATTTATAGGGGTTTTTCAAAACACTTTCCATTTCCATTTTAGACCAAGAAAAAACGCATAATCCGGAAAAGCCTAGCGCGCGGCCAGAAAAGTCCAAGTCAGAAAATGAATATTTTTGCCGGGAAACTGGAAGGAGTCTTGATGGAGAAGAAGGAGAATGGCGGCTGAAGTCGGTACCTTGCGCTCAGGATCTGCCGTTTCGTTGATTGCTTCGTATATTCGCTGCTGGTGAAGGATTCGTGGGTAGAGAGTGGCATGCCTACGGTAACAGCCACGCGATCAACTACAGATGAGCCGAGCCCCGGGACTTTCTTCAGACGAATTTTCAAATTTGTCCTTCGATGCCCAAGGAGCGCGCATGGGTGAATCGAAGGCGATTTTTTACAACGTTCCCACCGGAGAAATCTTCTAATTTTTGGTGAACTGGTACCTCACCCGGTACCCCCATGGATCTACTAGTATCCATGTGCCAAGCAAGAAAAAAATTGACCGACGCAATCCATGCGATCCAAGGTCCCAGAGGTCAAAAGTTCACAAGGTCGATCATTCAAGAAGAACTCAGGGAGATGAAGCTTGGACGATCGACGAACATGGGCCTGTCGTCCTTCACCGATTTTTAATACTGTGTGTTTTGTATAAGTTCGTTAGTGTAATTGCTGGCAGAGGATACCCAAAGTGAGGTGCACAGACTCAGTAGTCGGACATCATCAGAATCGAAACAATGGGGGTCCGTTCACAGCAGTATGTGCTTTCAAAATAATAATATAATTATTCAAATATTTATGTAGGTCGTGAGCCACGTTCGACCAGTCGCCATTTTATTTGCGTCAATTTTTTGTCCCCACCAGTACGTACATTGGTATGGTAGCGCTGAAAACAGCGCAAACCCCGTGCGCAGTGTGTTCGCTGATATCCCTACTGTAAGTAACACACGTGTGTTGCCATTGTTGCAGAAGTCAGAATCCTTAGTTGCAATTCTGAGTTTCATGCTAAGGAATCTCGACTTCTGTAGAACACTCTGCCATTCGTTGAGCCTGATGAGTTTTCATCTAAATGTGGTATGAAATGTTCTTGTTCTTTCTTCTTCTTTTTTTTCACTTTCCCGTTGCACAGTCCTTTGTTGCTCAGTGCATCGGAACGTCTCAGGTGGGTTTTGCTATGGCCTGTTTCGGTGCTGCAAATGCTGTGTCTAACCTTGTCATCACGAAAGTCGCTGTGCGGTGGGGTCGTCCCACTGTCTATGTCTTCGGAATGACACTGGCTATCATCATGGTCATCTTTTCCAACTTTTGGCATAAGGAGCCCAACCGGACTGCACTGTTCATGATGTCCATGACCTGGGGCTTCATCGATGCCATTTGGAACCCTCAAATCTGCTGTGAGTAATAACACTTATTCTGTTCACAAATAAACAACAATCATGCACTGCTTGGTTGCCGTCAAAATTTAGTGTTCAGCCTTCGGTTAGACAAACACTAAAAAAACTCTACAGTGTAACCAGCAATGTGCTGTAAAGGCCTACATGTATACTTGAGGTAGTTTACTAGTCGAAAACGCCGTAATACGAAGTTATCCACCAATAATTACTAACCAAGATACAATACAACTTCAATTAGCCTACCCACTCTGGGATTAACTCTCCTTCACAGGGGAGTCAGACAAGGAGAGAATGTTCGGATGAGAAAGGATCAGATCACATTGATAATAATTTGATATCCATGTTCCTTTTCAGCATCAGGTGCAGATCTTGTGCTCATAATTATTACAGTCCAAGATTAGAAAGGACACTTTCTCGCTGAAAGGATAACAGATCAGCATGAAAACAATCAAAACGGCCGGTACATGTGTAGTTCTAAACACCCGATATCAAAAGTATATTATAAGCTCCTAAGAATGTGCAACTCCTGATACCCTTTTAAGTTCCTATGGGGTTCGCCAACGGCAAAAACTCACAGCACAGTAGTGTCCCAGTTGTACGTTTCCAGCCTGTTTTGGCGAGCAGTGGAGTAATAGGGCTTGAAAGTGCTACGTCACAGCATAGCAACAATTTCAAAAATTCAAAAACTAGATCCACGTGGATCCAGTTTTTGTATGGATCCAAGCACATTTCAAGCAGTCTTACTCACAGCAAGGTGATGTAGCCAGTGAAACTGACTGATTTGGCTACTGGGGGCGGGGTGACTACTGGTGGCAAGTAAAAGTCACACCTGCATACGACATGAGTGGGTTGCTATGCACCCACATACTGAGGCAATAGCAAAGTCACACCTTAGTGGATCCAAAATAGAAATCTGATGTCAACTTACTACTCCTTGGCCGTTTTTGACGTCATCACTTTCAAGCCCTATCCAGTACTGTCGGTCGCGGAAGAACGGGGGGGTGTCAGCCTCCCAGCCCAGACCGTTCTTATTTTCATGTATTACAGTCTATGCACAGTTGAGTCACTGTATCTACATTGGTATGCTGTGCTTGGTAAAATTCTAGCCGGGTCGTTCTTCGACGCCCAACAGTACTGTAATAAAAGCGCTCCCAGGCAGAAACTCACTGCGCGTATGCAGATCACCAGCATAATCATGGTAGATTTTTTGGATTGCGCGAACATGCACACTATCCTTAGTTGTACATAGTACATGTACAAAACGAACCTGAGACACGTGATGTGAGTTTTCGCCGTCGGAGACCCCATAATTATGCAGAGTTACACACTCTTGAGTACTCTTGCTGATAGGACTGTGGACATTTCCCTTTTGCCGTGGCTGACTCAGCTAATGAAATAAGTTAAATAACTTCCCTCTCTATTTCTTTCTCTCTCTCTCTATTTCTTTCTCTATTTTTTGTTTGTGGTGCTGCAGCTTTTCTTGGAGTTCTGTTCCCCACGGACCCTGAAAAGGCATATGCTATCTTCAACCTGTTCAATGGGCTCACTTTTGCTGCTTCATTCATGATGAGCTCAATCTATGGTGATTCGTATACGCCCATCTTTATCAAGTGCGGTCTTCTTATTCCTGGCTTTCCTCTAGCCTTCTTGGCTTACTACAAAAATGAGCGTGAATATAGGAAAGGAAAACTCCAAAGAATGTCTGTTGAAATGAACGAAATTGAGACCTGAATAGTGATAGTGAATAGTGATAATGCTGCCCGTGTCCTGTCTACTGCTCTTGTTCGTGTTTATAAAAACGAAGACAGATATTTGAGTGACCAGGGTGCTACCTCTTGCTATCCTCCTTACTTTGAAGCAATAATATTATTACACTTTCATAATATTTTCGTAAATATATAATCAGCTGCCGGCCGTCCTTGTTCATAAAAGCAGCAATATTTTCCAAAGCAGTTTTTTCCTTTTGCTTTGAAGCAGTCAATACTTTTCATGATTTTTCATAAAAAAATAATAATAGTCACCTGCTGGCCTTGTCCATCAGTATGGTTTTCTTCAGCAGCGCTAGCAAGATATATTTTTTAACATACGAAATGTTCCCCGTCATCGCCCGAGAGTTGCGAAATTGATACAAAACAAATTCTAGATAATACCGGTATATTTCCTTGTCTGTTTTCCGTTTTGTCATATCTTTCCGCCAAGGTGGACGTCAATCTATTGTTCTTTCAAACGAGCTCATGACAAAACACCCAAAGTGGTGCACTCTCCCTCTATTTCGCTTTGCTCGTATTCTTTGCTCCAGAGCGGCTGAATAGAAATGAGCTGTTTTGCTGCAAAAGCTTTTGCTTATGCAAGTTACTAGTACATGTACATTGTAGTTATGGGCCGTTATGGCACTCATGTACCGTGATACCAATGTTGTGTTCTGTTTGCCCATGGCTGACTTACGATGTATTTTGTGTGTGTGTGTGCGACAGTCAGAGTGCATAGTGACTGTCTGTAGGAATTAGGGAGTGTGTGTTAAAAATTACTTTTCCTACTCCCTGGTAAGAATGCAAGGAGGTGTGTTTCATGATTGCCATGTTTCAATGCAGGGCCTGCATTGTAGCATGTAAATGCATGTGCCTGACCACTTGTAAACTCTCTTGGTGGATGCAGGTACATGATGTAGTGCCAGTCATTTCCAGCACAGCAAGACTGCATGCACATCTCCCACGGATTACCGGTACTTTTTAGACCCGGAACTCACTTTGTCACGAAAATCACGAATGTTTGAGGATCACAAAACTTTCTGGGTTCACTTCCAGATGATTATGTACTCTCCCAGAGAAAATTAGCTGATGCATCAGTCAGACCTCTTCGTACCATGGTCCGACTCTGTAGACTCTTGTCTCTAACGCTGCCACTCCACTGCACAGCTGTCACATTAATTTTATTTTGCCGGTATGCATGTGGTATTGAACAGTGACACATCCAGCACATAGGTAACTTATCGTCAATCCTCAATGGAGCTCCGAGTCACTGGCCGAACCGATCCCAATGAAGAGGCTAAGCATGTTTTTAGGCACCTCAAAGCATCAACACAGCAAACTTTGCAAGAGGGCAGATGATAACAGTCTAACGTTACTTTGACGCTGAACTAGAAAGAGTGCTCTCTCATGCATGAAGCTCTCAGTTGAGACAGTTCCACTGGATTTCTGCCGGTGTATCTAAGAATATAATGACTGGATAACAAAGGCGCAAAGTGATCATGTTCTCTACACCCTAGTCCAGTGTACAGGGTGGATGTCGGCCTCCTAACAACAATTTCCTGGGAACGATAGTCCAATACATTGAATGGCACTGCAGCATCATTTTCAACTGGACAATTTTATGGCTGCATCTGTGTACTCCAAGTCGACAGTAGGCACGTGCTGAAAGATCATAATTCATTTCTTTGATAATAGAAAAGTGCATCAGGGAACAAGGATTCTGGCAGATCTTAGAAGATTTGAAAGGGACAGAATAAGCTGCTGAAAACAATGCAGCTGTATGATATCGGATGTCTTTCTCTGTGTTCATGTGCCACTGGCCGCATATCAAAACGCACTGGTACTTGTAATATGTAATACTAATAGTCTACAAAAGAAAGGCACAGGAAAAACTGAAGGGCCTAAAACTTCGATTTGAACTGGGAGATACATGTACATAATATATGTTGCAAACTCTCTTGGATGCTGTCGCGGGATGATGAGCAGAGCAGTACATGTATGGTGACCACCACCCACAGTAACAACACCAGACCCACACTGGGAAGATTGCTCCGTGCTCCAACAACACATATACGTACACGTACATGGATACCGCTCTGGCATTAGCTTTGCACCATGGTATTGGTACCAAGCTACTTCGAAGTATGTGAAACAGAAAGGGGCAACGAAAAATTGAAAAACAGAACTAGCAGCATCGGTACTAATCAGTCAAATGGCAGTGCAGTCTACGTCTGCAGACCGAGTTCACAGCGCGTCAGAGGCAGCCGGAAAAGTTTTTCCACGCACTCTCACGTCCATGCACACCTGGTCCACGACCAAAAATGTCACACACGTACACTAGCACCGCATTAGATCGACCGCCGCTTACCCCGTATTATAAATTTCTTAGATGTCATCCAGCTCGGCAAGGCTTTGCTCGAGCTCTTCCTTTTTCTTGATGTACATCTGCTCCCATTCTGCCGCCTTGTCCTGTGCCGTACCAAGTTGACCCTCCAGCATCGCTATCTTGCGCTCCAATTCCTCGCACTTTCGTTCTTTCTCGCCCAGCTCCTCTATCTTCGCACGATATTCATCAACACTGTCCTCGGCTTTGCCCAGGTCGGTCTTCAGGATAAGAATTCGTCTCTCGTGCTCATCATTTTCGGAGGCTTTCTCCTCCAGTTGTTGCTGCTGCTGCTTGCACAGCTCTTCCAAATCGGCCAATTTGTCCGCATCTCCGGCAGAGTTGCCTTGGTATGATGCCAGCTCCCTGATAGCCTCTTCTGCTTTTGCCTCGCTCGTCTCTAGTTTAGCTCGCGTATCATCAAGCATTTCCTCTACTTTCGCCAAGTCATCCTCCGTTAGCTTCAACTTCCTCGTCAGCGTCTTCTCCTCGTTCTCGGCAGTTTCTAGCTTCTCCTTCAGCGAGGCGCACTCCGCTTTCGCATCCCCCTCTCGCTGCTCGGCCTGATCCAGCTGCTCACGCATCGTGGCAAGTTTTCTCTTGATCTGCTCCATCGTTGAACTGTTGCAGTGGTTCGGAACGGTGCAAACGAGCGTTCTGGACGGCTGGGAAGAACTGACAGACTCAAACCTCCACACGGATCTCGAAACCTCGACCACGCCAGGTATCAACGCTTGTGGCTAGATACATACGCTCGCAACCAGTTACCTGTTCTTGCTGAAGAACACAGACCAGTCATGCACCGCACACACACGCACTGGTAGATCTAGACGCACACCACGGTCCCGTGCCGATGTCTGTGCCTGCGTTACCGATCTCTAGCTCTGCGTGCTGTACTGTTTGCAGCCTGGCCTGGCCGCTGAGGCTGAGATGGTGAGGTACTACTACAGTCACTGAGTCAGTACAGAAAAAAAGAAAAAAAACTACAGTACAGACAGTCTGAGTCACTCTCACACTTCACAGTCTCAGGTATGTATTGACCTGTTACACTGGTGATAGATACCTGGATACATAATCAGTCATCATGGTCATCACTGCAGCCAGGCATTAGCGCTGAAATACTCCTGTACAAAACTACCTTTTTGACTTTGAGGGCTCGCTGTGTGCATGGTGTGTGTACGTAGATCTACATGACAATACGTCGTCAGCGCTGTCGACGTGTCGTAGGATACAGTCTACAGACCGTACTAGTAGGCGTAGATCTACACAATGCCAATGGTAGATCTACACTGATGATAGTCTTGACGTGAAGGGTCGACCGTAAGTAAATACTAAAATAGTACTACTACTAGTTGACGTCTTGTAAACTTTAAAAGTTTAAAAAAAGTAAGTATAATAGTTACATGAAGTTGATTGTTCCAACTAGGAACACACGCTTCTTGCCGAACTTGACACTTGACTGACTCACGACTGCCATCCGGAGCACACGAGGAGCACGTCGCACCTTCCACTCGGCAAACCTGCAAGAAAGCACCACTCCCTGCTCAATACACGGTGTTTCGGGGAATTCACCCCTCATCAGTTGAGCTTGAGTAGGCTGAGGAAGATTGTGCCTGAAAAGCACCACTTATATACTGCTCTCCAGGCCAAACCATCACCAGGGATACAAACTTACAGAGACGCTTTGTTTCCAGCGCGACAAACACCTCGTGAAGCTCCAGGTAGCAGCGTGAGTCAGAGTCGCTCATGGAGTTGTGATAAGCAGACGTTGAGAGCTCCGGATGGCAGTCGTGAGTCAGTCAAGTGTCAAGTTCGGCAAGAAGCGTGTGTTCCTAGTTGGAACAATCAACTTCATGACTATTACCGCCGAAGTCGCAACTTCTAAGTTCATAATAGTTACAGTTGTAGCAATTGCTAGTATATTAATTAGGGGGGGGGGGGTATCTCTTTGTTGCAATAAGTGTAATAGTGCTGTTGTTGTGACTGTTGTAGCCTAGTAGGGGAAATCAGGCCGATATGAGCCACACGTGGTGCTAGTCATTGGCGCATCCTGAATGTCGTGCTGTGGTTGTTTCTTTATTTTGTCACGTGTACCAGGTGTACGCAGTATTAGTCAGTGCTAAGTCAGTGTTATGTTTTGTCACGCGGTATACATGTACTAGTAGTCACACAAAGAAGTTTAGGTAGATCGTCAACAATTCGTAAGTTGGTAAAAGTACAAGTCATGTACATGTACACTGTACATCAGAACAACAGATGGCTTGTGTCACGGCTCTACCTTCCAGGTATCGAGCTCTCTTGGATTTCTGCTGGAATTCACAACAGTGTGTACACTGTACATCTGTATGTCCATCGGTTGTCTATTGTTGTCGCACTACATTTCACGCTTGTTAGGTTTCTTCATACTGCACCTTTTTGTCATTGGGTCACGCATGTATCACTGCTTTATCACCTCTCCAGCTCATTGTTCTTGTTCCTTTGCTCTTGCCTGAGGTGTACCTGTAGTCTGTACATCATCTGAAGAGAAGGCACGAAAGTTTACTTGCGGGAAATGCTTTCGATATGTTGAAGAACCTGATGGCAGTGATGCTTCTACTTCGGAAGTACTATATTAAAAGTGTTATAGCATTTTTGTCTCCGAGGAAACATTAATTTTTATGAGAGGAGGCGTTGCAGTTTTGGCAGGTATTTATTACTAATTTTTTACTTATACTCCCTGATTCTCAATCTGACTGCACCAACTATACTACTACAGACTACAACTACAAGCGTAGACTGGCCAAGCGCTGAAGCCCTCACTACATAGTGAAATGCTGCAAGTCAGACAAGTACAGCTGAGCATGTGTGTGTCGTCGACGTCCAGCATCATGTCATGACTAGTAATAGTATCGGATCCAGTTACAATGGCAGCGGCTGTGGTATGCGCATGCAGTGCGCTGTCTGTGTAGCTCAGAAGAGTAGATCTACGCCTACGGTCTGTGACTGTTTGGGTCCGAAGACTCCGGATCGAGTGGATTCCAAACACACCACCCGGCCGGACTGGTTTGCAAACGACAACAAAATACAGCTCAGCTGAGCTCGACCTCTTTACACGCTGGGGGTCCTGTCGACATGTACATAGTCATTGACATTGTATGTTGTTGGTCTGACAGCATGAAACAAGGTGGAGGACACCGTATTCGGAAACAGTGACCTTTCAACAACCATCCACGGTTGGTAGAGCCCCTGTCCGTTGGGACCATCTGAACCGTCTGACCCTCTTATTTAGGGGAGGTTTTTTTATAGACTTCTCCTAACGTCAGTCGTGTATTCTGTGATCGCTCCTGGATGTCGTCCTGATAGTCATAAAAATAGTAGCTATTTCAACCTGGATTGCTTTTCTTAAAATTAATCTTCTGTTCTTCCAACTTCTGCCCATGGCGTCCCTCTCTCAGCTCGTCAGCTGACAACAATTGCTGTCACCACCATGACACTGTCGTGAGAAGGTGCTCTCTGTAGACGAGGTTGGTGATGTCTCGACGCGGCCATGGGTAGGCCTTCAGGCTTCACCACGTCGGAACACCCCGGCTACACGTTGGTTACACGGACACGGACCACTGTCGGTGTCCTCCACCTTGTTTCATGCTGTCAAACCAACAACATGTGTGAACTAAAACAAGGTTTATCTAATACCATAGTCATATTGTATCTGCAAAAAAATTGTAGATAAGATTTACCACGACGTAGACGTACGATCGAGTCGAGTAGAGACAGTCTGTGCAGGTATTTTACTACTCCGGACCGGTCGACCCTGGTCTGTAGTCTAGTTCAGTACTAGCATAGGTAACGATTTCTTGTCAAGCTTTTGTGTTCAATCTTTTCAGTGTTCTATTTATTTCCGAATTTGGGTTGTCTTTTTGCTATGGTTCTTACTTCATGGTTTCACGCTATTGCCAGTATTGGCGTTGTGAATAACCCGTTCTTAAAGTCTGCATACCTTCCGTAATTCTGTTCTTCATTTTTTAGCCTGTCAAAAGGCCTTAGGCCTGTGGGGATTGCCCTATCAAAAATTTATTAAATAATAAAATAATAATAATAAAAGTAGTGTATACAGTAGAGTCTGATCCCAGTTGGCACACCACTGTCACCAGGCGCGGTGCTTCCACCTGTTTCGTGATCTTGGGGTGGACTACCAAGTGACCAGATGCCTGGCCGACGTACAATACTGTACTAGTAGGCCCTGTGTGCCATGAATGGTGAAGGAACGTCGCAAGCAAAGCTTCGAAGCCATACACTATACAGACTCAGTAAAATGAAAGGAAACAAACGAAATACTAGTACAACGGTTGTCCGGACATGAACTGTGCTTTCAGTGGTGGGTGTCCGATAAAACAGTCACTGTACTGAGCCAAGGCTGTTTTACGGGACGCTCGCCACTCAAAGCATGGTTGGAAGCAGGGAATAGTAAAATACTGAGCTAGTACCTTACCACTCCCTGGTTGGAAGTGTCGTAGTGGGTGAGGTCGATCTGACAGTTTGATGTCGGACCGACTCTGCCCCAGTGCTTCGGTAATCTTGTACGGTTTTCGTTGGACAGAGGTTGGTCGTCAATTGTGATTCATCGCTGATTTTTCAGGCTCTTTCTGCTCCATACTAGGAGCCTGGACCCATTCTGTGACCTTCCTGTTACTGTACACTATGCACAAGACAGTATTGTCCAGTCAGTGATATGGAGTTCGCCGAACGGTGTCGCGTTCCAAGCTGAGAAAGTAAGTTTCTACAGTGCTGTTTTGTGGAACTTGCTACCGGAAGATGTGCGGACCGTCTCGTGGCTCCCTAAGTTTAAACTGCCCTCCGTATTGCTGCGATGTATGACAATTGCATTCCTGCCTAATGCCTGGCCGACTACGGTACCGTGAGTACTAGTAGAGTGTCTCGCCACCCATACTGTGATAACTGTTAGCACTAGTGCTTTCATAGGATGCCCTTACCCACTTAGAGTACATACTTACACAACGGTGATACACCTTGCCTACTTTAGCCTTCTGCTGTTCTTCTGCTCTTTTATCCCTCCCTACTGAGTCCTGACACATTAAATTTTGATTACGACAGATAATTATTACCGGTATGTAATGTCACCCCCCCCCCCCCCCCCCAACACACACACACCCTTCATGGGCAACCCGTTTGACTTAGCGAAGTAAAATAAAGAATACATACAATACATACTCAATCTACAATACATACTCGGTATTCGGGTCGAGACCAGGACCATACTAGCTAGACATATCCCAACGCCTAGACTAGAGCCTGTCAATCTGTCCGATGAACCGATGCCGGTGATGGCATATTTTGCGCGGCTGGATGATCGCATCCTTCAAATGCCATTCAAAAGAGAATCAGTAAAAGCAACAGCAAGGTGTAAAATGCAATCAGTGAACCCGGCGGTCATCACGGCGTGTTGTTCTACGTCGCAGGAGTTTCAACAATACTCGCCGGTATTGCACTATTGGGCCTGTGTGTGTGACACGCTCGAATTAAATGTGACACGCTCATGCATCCGACTGTGGCACAGATCAGTGTCCAGTGCAGCTCTAATAGTAATACATAATGTAGTATTATACATGTACTACAGTAAGCTGAGTAACCACAAATACACACTGTACAATGATCAATACCTACTTTTACCAGTGAATACCTAATTTTATGATGATCTATAATCAGATAATGTCAAGAGTACTTGATAATGTACATCATGATACCAGTAGACTATCATTGTTGTACCAGTTTGCAATGATTATGTACACGTACATGCAGGTCAAGTTCTTCTTCTTCAACACAAGCTACTGTAGCTGTATTACTTTGTTCTTGCTCGTACAAGAGGCTGTATTGTTCCAGAAAAAAAGCAAAAAAGCACATGTACTATAGAATCTGATACAGTATATTATACTTCCGCCAATATTTCAGCATCAACATAATTATTCGCGATCTTGAAAGGAGGACCACGCCTCGGTCCTCACTACCCGGTACCCCTCAGCTGTGATATGCCTGCACGCTCGTCATCACCTCATGTAGCAAGCAAATACTTGGAATAGCTGGACCTGATGGTGTTACTGTTGTCTTACACATTCCTATAATAGTATTTCGACTAGAGACAAACATGCGGCGCACAGCTGATTTAGCAAACACTGTGAATAGTACATGTAAGCCGCTAAGCGTGGAGAGTAAAGCAACTGGCAGCAGGTCAGAATGCACGCACACATCACAAAGCAGGCTTAGGGGAGAGACTTACTCAAAACCAGGAGACAGGATTGAACACTTGAATTGAACGGTGCGGTTGGTCCGAAATCTTTCCTCTCCTACTGCGACGCGACCGCCGTTTCGTAGCCTTAATTATCGTGTGCAGAACCACCTGGTGACCATCATGCATTGTAATGCAGTTCACTCCGCGATAAAGAATGTGATGCAGTTACTAAGGAAGGAAGACGTGCGTTCCAGTTGGGTTTGTAAATGTGCGTCTAGCGATCGCGCGCGGGCGCGCGTGTGTAGGCATTGGCGGATTAATGCTCGAAAAGCAGTGAAATTAATTGGCAGAACCATACAACCTTATGGCAGGCAATTCCTCAAATTCTGCTCCATTTCTTTATCCACATACCAAACATGTATGAAACTTACCAGAAAAAGTACCGAATTCTACCAATTCTTCTGCCGGCATTATTTATAATTATAATAATAATACAATGGTGATCTGCCACCAACCATGAAAATGTTACTATACCATCACTCAGCCCGCCATCGCTGTTGACGACCAACATCGACCGCATCGACCTGACACCTCGTCCAAGAGTTCCGCTGTCTTGCAAGTGTCTGTACTTTTAGTAATGGTGGCTTTTTGGATACGGAAATAACTTTTAAAATTCCAGATTGAACCAGATTCCTCGTGTTTTGTGTACACTGCAAAGTCTCATCTTTCAAGTGCCATCGACTTCAAGAGGACCAAGGTGTTGGTAGGACGATGACTACAGGCTTAGGCTATATATTATTATTAAAGTTTATACACACTGCTATAGAGTTGAGACGAAGGCTGCGAACTATTATAAAGGCATCCCATTTCCGCTATCTCGACCAATTCCACTGGGCATGTACTGATTTGGACGCGAACTCAGTTAGAGGCGTGTGGCTGTTCAGATCAACTCAAAGCTAAGATTATCCCGACTGCACAGCAGTCAGTCTCTGCAGCATCTCATCCAGACCACTTTTATAAAACTCCACTTACACGTCACTTAAAACATAAACTGATAAAGCACTAGAAGTCTCGACAATAATGGGTAACCACTAACCAACTGTTATTGGTTACCGCGCTGCGACTCAATACAAGTAGTCTCGTCGTTCCTCCTGGACGTATCAGGTTTTCGCCATCTTCTGACTGAAGTAGAGTCTTCGACCAATAACAGTTAGTGGTGACCCATTAGCTAGAGGAGTCGGCAATATGACTATTGTCGAGACTTCTAGTGCTTTATCAGTTTGTACAATCCATGTATGTATCAGCCTCTTACAAGCAGATACAAAACCTCTTGATGTCACCAAGAGTACCGTGATAAACCGGTTTACATCATGGTGACATAGCAGACTCAGCGGAGCACGTTCAGGTTGGTTGTAACTCTGAGTTTCATGCCGCTAGTCAATCATCACACAACTGATACTCGAATCTACCCAACACGGCAACAGTATGCTTATAAACACACAGGGCCACAAGCATAAACAAATTTAGCGCTAAATCTGGTGTAAGGTATGGGGAGAAAGTTGGCGCGGGCCAAGGCGCGACAGTAGAAGTACCGGGAGGGTGGCGGGCAACAGGCAGGTGTGAGCATGAAAGCGCGGACAGAGGCGATGGGGAGGCAGTGTACAGCAGATGGGTGGAGGGGCCAGGAAGATGGCGCGCAATGGGCCAGTGAGATCGCTAGGCCTGCCCCCGGACGAGCCTCTGGAGTTTCGAGAAAACTCCATTTTTTTATTTTTGTTGCAGTGCCGAAAGACCATCTTTTCAGGAAAGTGAAATTCCTCGAAAAGTCCTACTAGCGGCAACCCGAAACTCCCTCTAGAATTCGACGATTCTGCCGCGTCATACCCTGTCAAAAGGCCTTAGGCCTGTGGGGATTGCCCTATCAAAAACTTAATAATAATACCAGTGGACCACAGTGATTTGCCAGTAAAACGGGGTTACCAGATTAGAAAAAAGGTTCTAATGGAAATTTGGGCGAAGGACTGAGCATACTTGAACAATGTAAGAATGAAAACTGTCAACGAATCTCTTTTCAGGAAATCTGGGAAGGGCCAGTATATCTCCAATGGTTCCTAGCGATCTAACCTCTGGGGTGTCGGTAGAACGCGTCTCACCTAATCCTGTGAATGATTGTTCACATGCACATACACACGCACACACACACATGCGCACACGCGCACACCTTGAACGGCCACCGCCATGCCGGAGTGCGATGCTCGCACGTGAGCAGAGCAATAGGTATAAACAGGGAGTCACAGGCTCACAGCATGGCACTTGGTGAAGTTGGTCCACCCGCAACTACATCATTGGGAAGCTTGCCACTGCAGGAGGACGAGGGTGCTATGGCATTTGCCTCCACTACATGCCTCGTTCTGCGCAGCGCAGTACCGCGGCTCTTCCTCCGTGATGGCTGTCTTGGCCAGGTCAGTGCTTTGTAGCAAAACCCAGCACGCTGTCTCCTTCTGGGGCCATGTCTGGAATGCGAAGACAGAGCTCCCCAAAAAGCACTTGCCTAGCGCCTGGTGAGGCGATTGGAGTCCATCCTGGCAAAATGACTGAGTCAATGACCGAGGGAAGAATGATGATGGTACAGCAGCAGATCACCATGGTTTCCAGGAAGTCTGACCTGGTCTGCTATCTCCGCCATGCTGGTGATCATGGTGAACCTGGCACATCTGCCATTGACATTGTGTGAAGCGGGATCTACCCAGGATGGCACGGTTGCATGCATGGTGGAAAGCGTCGAGCCGTAGCCTACCCTGTCCCCGGTTCACTGCTCAGGTTCTGGCGATGTATTGTAGAACGACGTAGATGTAGTGAGCACAACGGGTGTTTGTACACCCATCTCCAGTCCTCATGGATATGGAGACTTTTGGAGAGGCATTGGCATTGAAAAGTAGACTGCTGCACCCTACTAAAAGCGTATGGTGCCTTTCCCAATTGTACCATTACCTAACCACCAGGGGCGTCAGAAGGGATTTACCGGTAGGGTATTTAACAGTGCGGGTAAGGTCAGCCATCTGAAGTACAACTTACTCTTGGGGGAGGGGTGGCTCCGCTGAAAATTTCTAAATGTATAGCCCAACATCACATCACCACTGCCTTTTTCTTGATTCACGGGGTAGCTGGGACAACGAGTGGTACGGTCAATACCGTACTGGGGTAGCGTGTCCATCTAACCATCCAGTAAACCGCTGACCAGGGTAAGTGAAACCGGTCCCAGGCGCGTGCGCCGGTGCCCTTCAAGGGGGGGATTCCGGGGACCTCCCCCCGGGAAAAATTTCAAAAAGTTAAGCAAAATCCTGCATTTTGAGCTAAAAAAGGGGGGTTCCGGGCACCCAGGAACCCATACGGGGCACGCGCCTGGGTCCTGCACTTGCTCTATATCCCCGCAAGACTCCAGATTGGCGCCGCTCCATCTCCCCGCAAGACTCCAGATGGGCGCCGCTCCATCTCCTCGCCAGATTTCAGATGGACATCACTTTGAGCATTATCGTCCACAGCCATCGCCTTCTCAGTCGTGCTCAAGGTCAAGCCCCAGCGACTTGAGCAGCTTATCAAGTCCCATGCTAGTGAGTCCAGATCATGGTGAGTGACAGTGCACAGGAGCCACATCATCGTAAAACTGTGATCACTGTGCACTTCACCCACACCCACCCAAACACCCACCCGCACCCACACACAGACACCCACCCACCCACACACCCGCACCCATACACAGACACAGACACCCACACACAGACACAGACACAACACACACATGATTGCCACAGTTGCAGCAACAATGATGTGGTTATATAATACACTTCCCAGGGGCTTTGGTTAAAAACCGTTAAAAAAGTAAAGATCCAAATGATAATGGTTGAAAATGAAGAACTATAATGCTGACACAACACACGCAAACGAATGTTTATCTTGAAAGTAGACTTTTATGTACAATCATTCTGTGCATCTTTACATATTTACAACAGATATATAATGGCGAAAACACATCTCACATATACCACACTACCAATCGAGCCATTCCTTCATATAGACACATGTTGAAGGCGACACGGCACTGCCTTCGCAGCAGTTGAACACCAGCGGGCAAGCAGCACACGGAGTGCACATGAGACCGGTGGGCGCAAGCGTCGAGGAGCGCGCGCGGTACAGCACGACCGGCTTTCCGTCCATGCCGCTGGTCACCTCGCGCTCCACTTTGCCGTCGTAGATCAGCGCGCCGAGTAGCATCTCGATATGCTCAACAGTCAGCTTTACTTTACTGACGCCAAGCCGGTTTATAAACTCCCACACGTCACTAGAGTTTGTCAGCGCTGCACTACGCCGGGCGATTGGATCCAGATCGCCGACTGCAACACCACCAAACGCTGCTGCCGGCGCCAGCGTACTGGCTCTGCTCTGCAGAAATTTCAGACACTGCTGCATTAGCACATCCACAAACTCTGACTCAAAGTCCTGATCAGTGAACCATGGTCCTCCTGTCACTGACTGATCTGGCTCCAAGTTGAAGAGCATGTAAACTTTCTTCTTTTGATTCCCGACACTCTTCAACTGCTTGATGATCTTCTTGCTCTCTAGCGTTTTCAGCACTTTCTTCAGCTGTGTTTCGTTCAGGCCACTCTGTTGCCTAATGTCTCGTGTCCAAATGCCCTTCGTCTGAGCCTGCTCAACAATCTGGTAAACTAGTTTCTCCTCATTGTCAGCACCTTGCAGGCTGCCAAGCACCTCCGTGTTTTTCGTCCGGTAAAACAACACATCGCCCTGCTTCAACACTTCCAGTCTTCCAGTGGATAAAAGGCGATTGATGGCCGTGGCCAGACGAGCAGCCTCCACATGCTGGGGCAATTCTCGACGTATAAGATCATGGCTGACCTCACCACTGCGCTGGCATAATTCCAAAATCCGAACTTCCAAGTCCAACACCTCGGCCGCTTCTTGCTTTATAACAACCTCCGCTACAGCCATCACTCCCTGTTACATCTTTCACGTCGATACCAAGGGACTAGAAGAAGGAGAACACGTAGTACAACTCAACTAAACTTCCAATGAATGTGTCTAAAAAATGGATTTGGCACTTTTTCGCATCTTGAGTTTTTCAAAAAAATATAATTATACGATCACATGCACATGCACGAGATGTACGACGCGAAGGTAGACGTCATCGTCGTCATGTCACCCGACCACCACGACCACGGCCGGTACGGGCCGGGCCACGGCTAGCCGGCTAGGCTTGTCCACAAAATGTTTTCAATTATTTCTGAATTTTGGTTGGATTTTCGCACTTTGAATTTTTTTTGAATTTTGGCCTCATCAGGATTAAATTTTGGCCGTTTTTGGAGAACGACAGTGCTGTCACTAGACATAGCCCGATTTTGCTAGCAATTCTGCTGGCAAAATATCGAAGAATTTTGACGAGAGAATTTGCTGGCAAAATGGAGCAAAATATCGGTATGTTCGCTGGAAATTGGGAGATTTTACACTTATACGGTGCATGTGACTCATTTTCGTACATTTTGCGAACACGTGACTCATTTTTTCTCATTTTTGCCAACACGTGACCCACTTTCGGTCAGTTTTCCTACACGTGACCCAAATTTGGCCTTGCATTGGAGCAAAAAGGGAGCAAAATATCGAGTGACCTGGCAAAATGAAAGCAAAATATCGACGATGAGCGAGCAAAATTTTGCGGCAAAATATCGAAGTTTCCCTGGCAAAATCGGGCTTTGCCTAGCTGTCACATCTGGAGAGTACATGTGCTGCTCAATATATTACCAAGTTTGACATGTGAAAACAGTACTTTCAAATACACACACCTTTGACCTTTGACCTTTTGACACCCATCCCCCAAATTTGGAAGCACACAGCAGTACAGACACACATGATAAGCAGTTTGTGGTTTTTTTTTTTTTTTTTTTTTTCATTTTTTGGAAATGTTGGGTACGAGTACTGTAAAAACCATGGCAGCGGATCGAATTTTTTCTGCATTTTGGGGGATTTTTTGAATTTTCTTAAAACATTTTGACCGTTTTTTTCGCTTTTTGAATTTCAATTTTGCACAAAATAATTCGCATGATGTGGCCACCCTTACTAGATACTAGGCCTTAGCCACGGCCACATGCACAGCTAGCTAGAGAGTAGAGTCACAGACTCCAGTGACAGGCCAGGAGTCCCAGGACAGGACTGGCCCAGGCCAGGAGTCCCTGATACTGACGTCATGATCATCACTCATGCATATGCATGACTTGTTTGTACACAATCATGACACTGTAATAAATTTGTATTGTATGTACACTGCACTGTTGTTGTTGTCGTGTTGTGTCACAAGTAGCGGATATCTAGGAGGATGGAACTCAGAGTTTCACGCATGAGGCGATCATCAGACAACCGCATTCCTACTTGCCTTTGCTGTAGTTGTAATAGCTGAACAGGCTTGTAAGTAAATACTAGTAGTTAGCTGTAGCAGTGCCGCAGTAGTACTGTACCTGCACAATGTAGGTTCTTTCTGGAAGTACCAGTCCAGCTCAGTCAAACTGTCATGATCCATTTCAACACAAACAATCAAACATTCAGCAGCAGCCGCGGGCCAGCAGCGCGCGGGCGAACTTATGATGTCATGATTGTATCTGCAATGACTCCCCTATCATAAAAGTCCAGGATTTCATAAAGCCTTTGACTCTTCACTCGGCAATCTTTAACTGTTTGGCATCGGTTCATATGATTAATTTTTTAAACTTCCAGAGGCGTCAGAAGGTAAGTTAGGGTGGTACGGTGGTCATCCATCTGAGCATGAGGTGCAGTTTACTGAGCTGGCTTGTTGGGATTGTGGTTACGCCGAAATTTTTCGAAGTTTAGAGCCCAAACCAGTGCTTTTGATTGATTCATGGGGCAAAGCCTGTGGTGCGGTCACGTTACTTTGTGTACGATATCATATCGGAAGTGAAGGATACATGACCTCCTTAGCAATAAATACACGCTGGTGGCCAAAAAGTTGGCCGATGAACTGGACCGGTTCCGCCGGGCCTGCACGGTAGTGACCGTAGCGTGTCCGACGTGTCCGACGTCGGCCCTGACTATGACTTAGTAACCGTATCGTGAGTCTATGGCCGGTACCAGCCTGGCATGTTCTGAGCCGAGGAACCAGCCTGGCATGTTCTGAGCCGAGGAACCAGCCTGGCATGTTCTGAGCCGAGGAACCAGCCTGGCATGTTCTGAGCCGAGGAACCAGCCTGGCATGTTCTGAGCCGAGGAACCAGCCTGGCATGTTCTGAGCCGAGGAACCAGCCTGGCATGTTCTGAGCCGAGGAACCAGCCTGGCATGTTCTGAGCCGAGGAACCAGCCTGGCATGTTCTGAGCCGAGGAACCAGCCTGGCATGTTCTGAGCCGAGGAACCAGCCTGGCATGTTCTGAGCCGAGGAACCAGCCTGGCATGTTCTGAGCCGAGGAACCAGCCTGGCATGTTCTGAGCCGAGGAACCAGCCTGGCATGTTCTGAGCCGAGGAACCAGCCTGGCATGTTCTGAGCCGAGGAACCAGCCTGGCATGTTCTGAGCCGAGGAACCAGCCTGGCATGTTCTGAGCCGAGGAACCAGCCTGGCATGTTCTGAGCCGAGGAACCAGCCTGGCATGTTCTGAGCCGAGGAACCAGCCTGGCATGTTCTGAGCCGAGGAACCAGCCTGGCATGTTCTGAGCCGAGGAACCAGCCTGGCATGTTCTGAGCCGAGGAACCAGCCTGGCATGTTCTGAGCCGAGGAACCAGCCTGGCATGTTCTGAGCCGAGGAACCAGCCTGGCATGTTCTGAGCCGAGGAACCAGCCTGGCATGTTCTGAGCCGAGGAACCAGCCTGGCATGTTCTGAGCCGAGGAACCAGCCTGGCATGTTCTGAGCCGAGGTACCAGCCTGGCATGTTCTGAGCCGAGGAACCAGCCTGGCATGTTCTGAGCCGAGGAACCAGCCTGGCATGTTCTGAGCCGAGGAACCAGCCTGGCATGTTCTGAGCCGAGGAACCAGCCTGGCATGTTCTGAGCCGAGGAACCAGCCTGGCATGTTCTGAGCCGAGGAACCAGCCTGGCATGTTCTGAGCCGAGGAACCAGCCTGGCATGTTCTGAGCCGAGGTACCAGCCTGGCATGTTCTGAGCCGAGGAACCAGCCTGGCATGTTCTGAGCCGAGGAACCAGCCTGGCATGTTCTGAGCCGAGGTACCAGCCTGGCATGTTCTGAGCCGAGGTACCAGCCTGGCATGTTCTGAGCCGAGGAACCAGCCTGGCATGTTCTGAGCCGAGGAACCAGCCTGGCATGTTCTGAGCCGAGGTACCAGCCTGGCATGTTCTGAGCCGAGGTACCAGCCTGGCATGTTCTGAGCCGAGGTACCAGCATGGCATGTTCTGAGCCGAGGAACCAGCTTGGGTGAACGTCTTACAACGTTACCGGCCGCATGATCTGGTTTCATATACTGTACAATGTATATCTGTAGAGTATGATGTAGAGTCACGTGATGCTGCAGGCAGTTTACAAGGCCCAGTCCCATACCACTGACTGCACCATGTACCCAACTAATTGGTGTGATGGCCTCTTAGGTCATCATGGGTATTTTAACTACTATTTTAGCTTTTTAGTCTCGAATACTGTAGTCCTTAGGAGCCTGTTCTCTTGCGATAGCCTATGCCCAGGCCATGGTATAAACTAGGGGTCAAACGGGTGTACCTTTAACTAACGAACGGGTAATTTTCTTAACGGGCGGGTTAACGGGTACCCTTTAACAGCCATGTTTAAAGTTTTGCGCAATTTTCACATAAATCAAGATTTTAATTGATCTGTTCTCGGGTTGCATTTTGATATCACGTTGTGATTCGCAAATTGATTTGTGTCTCATAGTCGCAGAGGTAGATCTGCTAGGTACGAAAATGCAACAATAATGCAGACATCCAGCGTGGAGTTGTAAATAATTGACTTCCGCCTGGAATACACGATCCCAGCAGTGTTGCTCCGTACTGACTGAATCATCAAAATCCAAACGGGTACTCTTTTACTAACGGTACCTGAGATTAACGGTCGGGCACACCCCTTTGACTCTAGTACAAACTATAAAAGTAGCAAAGAGAGCCTGACGATTTTAGAGCCAATGTTGTATGGCAACGGTGAGCGAACGCGGTGCTAAGAATAATCGTCTTCATCTCAAGTTGCCGCCATAGTCGGGTCCTCAGACTAGCTGCTTCGAGGCCAGGTGCATCACTGGATGTACGTCTTCCACCGTTAACGCATTCCTGGTCACCCAGCATTCACCATGGTAACACGATGAATCCCAGACTACAGTAGACGAGGTACAGCGCGGACAACGGGGGGGGGGGGGGGGGGGTAGCGATACATGACCGTGATGTGAACCGCTCAACTGGACTCAGTCGGGTTGAGCGGTTACTAGTGTAGTAGCACTCGCAAGAGTCACGCCTGCTTTTCTTCTCATGAAGACTGTGTAGGTTCAGTCCCAGTTTCTCGCCTGACTGCTGTTATGGTCCACGCTAATGCTAACAGGGGGGGGGGGGGGGCAGGGTCCATGGTCAGATCCCATCCATATCAGATGATAGAATCTCAGTAAATTAGCACTGGCTCACCATGCTCACTGTAGCAACAAGATAAAGAAGACCAATGTCATTTTTGGCAACCTAGCCCTTAGCCTTAGGCTTAGGTGATGGTCATGACACTGACTGACTGACACCCTGACACAGAGGACTGCTGGTACTGCCTGGTGTAGGCTATGGAGTATGGGCCACTAATACTAATAGTAATAGGCACTATGGCCATGGCAGACCTATCACCATGATTACGCCCACAGGCACAGGACCTCTGGCCATGTGGCATGATACAGCAGCACTCTACTTGTACTCCAGCAGCCAGCAAGCTAGCATGCTAGCATGCAGTGGACCGGTCGACCATGCACGTGCAGATCACATCTCTGGTAAGGGCCACGTGAGTAGCAGCGTCACCAGACTGTAAGTGTAAGACTCCAGTGCAGTCCAGACTGTCCAGACCTGGCCAGATACTGAGATACTGATAGAGATAGGGAGCTAGAGTCCAGACTGTCCAGACCTGGCCAGATACTGAGATACTGATAGAGATAGGGAGCTAGAGCCGTAGACATGGTAGAGGCTAGCCAGTAGTACTGCAAGAGGGCAGGTGCCTAGACAAGATGATTATCAGTTGAGCAGGAGGAGCCTTGAAACCATACTGATGATCAGGACAGCTGACTGAATCTTCGAGTTCATGGAACAGTCAGCGCCTGTCTCAAGATCGTGATTTGCTGCTTTTTCGGACAATGATCCTCTTCCCCGAATGCGAGGAACTAAACCAACTTACTTGTGCTGAAGAGAGAATAGCTAGCTAGTAGCTACCTAGTAGTACTAGTAGCAGCAGCAAGTACATGTAGATCTAGCGGTAATAGTGCAATTTATGTCACCTAACCCTTCCCTGACCAGCGGCAGCTCTTTCTGCAATGAAAATGAATGAGCTGTTGGAATGTTTGAGATGTTCAGTGTCGCACTGCGAATGCTTATAGTTGCGATTATCATGCCTTTGTGAAAACTGTAAAACTGTGTTGTGCATTGGTGAACTCTTGTACCTTTGCAGTTCCAGTAGCTGATCACGGAAGCATTCAGAGGAGGACCACTTGCTGCTGCTCTAGCATCCGCTACAACCGCTGGAGCGTGATAGCAGCGGTATTTGATTTGGGTGACTTCTCTCCACGGCACTAGTGGCCACTCCAGTGCCGGGTACAACGAGTCGTAGATATCTACCCTGCACTTCGGCAATCGTTAGCGGGCTGGGGAGCGCAACAACTAACTAACTTCTGCTAGTAGAAAACTACTCTCGGTCCGTCTCCTGCGGAGTGGCGAGCAGCATCGTGATCCGTGAAGTCCCTGCTGTGGTGCTGTTGGAGATTTCTTGGTCCCCGGGATCAAAACTACTGTCGTACTGAGCAGGGTCTAGTTTGCCACCAGGATTTCAGGAGAAAACTGCACTTCGTTGTCCAGATTCGCGCTGCATAAGCACGAGGGCTATTCTTTGCAACGATCCGCGTGGTGCAACTGGCACACAGTACAGACTAGACTGGGCGCGTGTTCTGGTAGATTTGCATCAGTGCGTGTGCAGACAGTCAGTGTGGCTGCTGACTCAGTGACTGTCTGTCCATCTGAGCGGGTCACTCTACACTACATGCTCAAGCCAATCAAGTCACCCTGCTGCGAATGAGGACATGAATACTAGTACTGCCACTGGTGTGCCCAGGATTAGTGCCATAGACTATAGTGGATGAAGAACCGTTGACCACTATGTCTTAGTGGATATCCTGTAGCAGCTTTTTGACTATTATTGCCAAGTAGTAGAATAGCAAGTCACTGTCTGTGCACCAGCAACAGAGAGCCACCCATTGACTGTCAGTCGGACCAATCAGTGTGACGGCAATAGTGTACGTTACTGGGTTGATACGCCTACAGCAGCCGAACACGACGGGTCACAGGCTGAAGTCTGACGATGGTGAAGGCAGGCGGTGGTTGCTGTGGCTACGGCTGTCTGGCCATTGTGAGCATGTTGGTACTGGTCCCCGCCATCCTACTCTACATCTATATGAACACTCTCTTCCTGCTTATTATCAGAGAGGTGAGTTATCATACCGTAACATTTCGCATTTGGTGTCAGGGCAATATTGCGTCCCAGGACCCTTCAGGTACTCATCTAATGATAAAACAGGGTATCTCTCCCTTTCTCACTGCTCTACCATCTCACTGCTCTACCATCTCAGCATCTTTAAAACTCGCTATCATGGGCCAATGGCGATATATCGACCAGTATGGTGTGATGTAAGCTACAGCTTTTAACACATTCATTGCTCCATTTTTGTTCATTTGTGAACTTTACAGAGCATGGATTTGTTACTCTGTCCTTCAGTTTCAGTTGCTGGAAAAGGTCCTATTCAGTCGTTTTGCCTATCCCTTGTCATTTTTCTGCTCTATGCTTTTTACATTACCAGCAAGCTTACATTCAACCCGGTGGAGAAGTTGAGAAGCAATGGGCCAATCCAGAGGTGCCTGTATACTGCAAATTCTACTTTTACGATCTGATAAACCCGGAAGGCTTCAAACAAGGAGAGCGACCGGAATTTGACGAAGTCGGACCATTCGTCTACAGGTACGAATAACGTTATTCTTGTATTGGCCGAGCAAGTTGTGTAGCAATGTGAATGTGTGTGCACGCTCCCACTACATATCTCAATAAATCTGCGTGCTTTGTGCTGACACACTTCACTTGGCTCATATCAGGACATGCTTGACCAGTGCATGTACAGTGGTACATGTTGGTGTATGCGATGCAAAGCCTGTTATTCCACACCGATTGGAATCTACTACATGTATGGATGGTGGGGGTTCGTTGGAGTCACGTGTCTGCTTGTGCTTTCTGGTTCACCTGCAGGGAACACCGCGAGAAGTATGACCTGCAGTACACGTACGATGACACATTGGTCCAATATCGCATGGATCATTACTTCACGCTGGACCTGAATGCGTCTGTCTTTGATCCACGCCTTTACAACATCACAACACTCAACACACCACTTGCGGTAATACTGCTGTAGAAGATATAGGAATCAGCAACAGGGATTCGTGTTTTTTTGCTCTGTTTGACCTTTCATGATGTTTCAGTCCTATCGTGCTGCCGGGCTTTGCTATGTTTTGCTAGCTGACGCTAATCAGCATGCATGACATGTGAAACAGTTTATAACTACTTCAGACAGTCTTCAGTACTTGCATGCGTCTCAGTTAGAGGGTATAGGTGGTCGCAGATGAGGCTCGTATGTGGCTTGACTGTGCTAGACCATGTGGAGGAGAACGCTTCAGCATTTGGACTGAACAGAACATGTTTGCATGGATGTAAAAATGACCGCGGCCATTTACCCCAAGTCTACAGTACTTTGATGAACACGGATGCTGATTGCTGGTACCGTATACTTATTTTAAAAGCTAAAACTTTTCACCAGAGACTAATTCCGCCCAATTGTGAACAAGGACAGTTCGTCGTGTGAAAAGATTTGTCCATGAATGATGAAACCATATTGAAGGTACCCGGCTACACAAATTTCCCTTAGTGTTGAACTTCAATGTTGTTCAATAACTCTTCAGACGAAAAGGACGGAACTAAACGGGCGATATGTGGACAAGTGAGCCTATGGTGGTTCCTTAGTTTCATACTGACCCCCACCCCATGAAAGCACGTGCACACTGACCATTGCATCGATCCCCCACCCCCTTTCCCTAGAGTACATGGACAATCTTTCAACTAACCGAAAAAACTAACAACATCTGCCCCCTCCCGATTCCAAATTCAGAATATCATTATTTACACACCTTCCCTTACTCATGCCGTTTCAGCTGTCCTGATTGCTGGATGACTTTCTGTGACCGTCTGTGTAGATATTATTGTCAGTCGAGACTCACGAGAAGAGTGAAACGCTGCGTGACCTTCTGAATGCCGTCGTCAAAGGACTTGGAGAAGTCGACCTTATTGTCACCAAGACGGTGGATGAGCTTCTATGGGGATATGACGATCCCATCTTCAAGCTTGCACATCAGTACGACAAGACCTTGCCCGCTCAGTTCTCCCTTCAGGTATGCTAGCATTGCCAGGACATGTAGATGCACTGCCTGATAGTGTGCTCTTTGTTAATTCTGCGCCGGGGCAGCTCGCAGACTTTTCGCCTAGTGCCCAGCACCCACCCAAAATAATTCTGACCCTAGCCATTAGAGGGTGACCCGGGTGACTTGCATTGTTTATGACATTCTCCTGTGCTGTATCTATGTGCTCAGTGTGGACTGTGCAGAGAGATTATGTTCAGCTAGTCACTCTGAGCTCCGTTGATGTAACCTTGGAGACCGAAGCAGCTACTAGCGGCTGTCCGGGAATTGAGTACACTTCCAAGTACAGGGAGGTTGTTGTTGGATCGGAATTCTAGATTCCCTGTTTTCATTCACAATGGTAATCTGTGCTTGATTAGAAGACCGTGCTCTAATCTGGCTCCTTCTCTGTTGTGCGTTTTGTCTCTTCTTTAGCAAAAGAATTTAACCGACGACTCTGAACTGTGGAGTCAAATCTTCACCGGGAAGGGAGACAGCAACCTCGTTGGCGTTTACACACACTGGCACGAGATGACCAAGTTGCCGTACTGGGGCAGCCCACAAGCCAACGGTATCAACGGGACTGATGGCACTCTCTTCCACACAGACATACAGAAAGAGGAACGCCTCGTTGCCTTCATTGATAACCTGTTTCGGTCAGGCTACTTTGTGTTCAATAACTCCGGCGATGTGCGCGGTATCGACACGTATCGCTTCATCATACCCTCAGTAGAGCTGAATAACGACACTGTCGATCCCGACAACAAGCCCTTTTTCATGGACGGCCCCGCAGGTCTTATGAATATGTCAGCGCTGAGCCCCCTGCACCCGCCGGTATTCATGAGCAAGCCGTACTTCCTGAACGCACCCGACGACATCATCGATGGCATGGTGGTCAATAACAGCATGGTAGGATTTCCGCCGGACATCGCCCATCACGATTCTTTCCTGGACGTCAATCCGCTTACTGGAGCTGTGCTCAACGCGCACAAGCGCATGCAGGTCAACGTCCTGGTCAAACCAGAGCCGAGCCATATCTACGACACTTCCATACTGCGCGAGACATACTTCCCGGTGATGTGGGTGGACGAGACGGCAACCATCACTCCATCACTGGCATCGGCCTTCAAGAAGAAGATCATTCTGCCAATGGATGCATGCAGTATCGCTCTACTCGCTCTTATGATCCTAACGGGCTGCGGGTTCACCGTAAGTGTTGGCATTCTGTTACATCGGAAAACGTGTGCCCGCGATGCAGGCTCACAACTCAACCATGGCCGATGGAGACGCAATGGTTCCGTGAACGACGCTGCACCGAATGAAACGACAACACTGCTCCAATAGGCAAAATGTACGGAGGATACTCATCTTTAAAGATCTCCTCAGTAAAATTACAATCATAATATTGAGTGGTGTTGAAATTGTGTTATGTGTTATCAGCCTGCTGTGTCATGCCAGCTTGATATAATCCAGACCCCCATATGTGGTTTAAGTCAGTGTGCAGCCATGTTGGAAAAAGTGACCCTCGATAGACTACTGCATGTTACTATAGCTAGAGATCACAGCACTGGCATGGCAACAGAAACACAAACCTGCAAATACATGTGCTTGATTGTAGCACATCTCCAACATCACTGGTCTTCATACTGTGATCTCCAACATCACTGGTCTTCATACTGTAGGCTGTCACGGTTGCATTCTTTTATTTTTTACTTCATGATAGGCAAAGGCAATGCTGCCTTCTCATCGGAGGGTGAATAAAACCTTTATCGATGTTTGAGCTAAAGCTGATTCATTGATATCAGATTGAAGCATAAGAAACCTCATTCAGTTTTGCAGTCGCGTTTCAGCTGGTCTAAATTACGCGCAAACACAGCCAGAGCTGTTGGCCATTGGTCTAAATTATTAATTTTTTAAGTTGTGGTTGTCAGAACATTTTAGTCACCGTAGTAATCAGAGAATCTATGTCTTCATAATTACTCAATCTGCGGACAGCATGCTGTTTCGTTCTTTTTGAACTCATCAGCGCAGCACAGAGAAAATGAGGCCGAACCTGATAGCAATGAAAATAAAAATTTCCAATCAGGCCCGAACGTACCTTGCCAGAGTGCTCAAACTGACAAGTCAGTGAGCTCTGCATAACGCAAACAGCTTCTTCATAATTATTTACTTTAAAAATGGGACCAGATTCTTCTATTTGTACTATTTGTCTTCCTCAGTGTCAGGTTGGTTAGTGTGGCTGTGGTGGCTAAGCAGCCGATAAGTTTAGGACTCGCATATGGATCATCAATTATGGATTGTTGAGCTTGCTGGTACAACTTTGATTAGCCATTGTTTCTACATGTAGGTGGTGGGTGCATAGCACTTTTTCCAGTAAGTATTGCCTTACTAACCGATGATGTTAAAGGGGAAGTTAAGGCAAAAATTAAAATTTCACCAGTTGTAGTCTTCGGGGTGCTGAGTCGAATGGTCTTGGTCCGAGGAAGCTGAGACGCTCCCTTCCTACTTGAATCCCAATCGAACTCGCGCACTTCCACCGAAACTGGGTGACTGCGCCCTACTAGATGGGGATTTGTATGCAAAATGTCACTAAAAGCGCCATTTCGTTCTTATAAAAGCACGGATGACCGCGATTGGCCCATATGTTGTAGTCTTTGGGACGCTGAGTCGACTGGTTTTGGTCCGAAAAGGCTGCGATGCAGAGTTCCTCCTTTATTCCCAATCGAACATGGTTGAAGAAGCGGTCACGTGGTCCTGTTGGTCACCACGCCAGCAGGTGACAACTTTCACACCAAGGTTCAACTCGAGTGACAGGACTGCACCCAAAAAAGGTCAAACAGGCTAGTAAGTTGTACCCTGCAGGCACGGTGACCAGGTGACTGGTGTACGCAGGAGCACGTGACCGCTTGTTCAACCATGTTCGATTGGGAATAAAGGAGGAACGCTGCATCGCAGCCTTTTCGGACCAAAACCAGTCGACTCAGCGTCCAAAAGACTACAACACATGGGCCAATCGCGGTCATCCGTGCTTTTATAAGAACGAAATGGCGCTTTTAGTGACATTTTGCATACAAATCCCCATCTAGTAGGGCGCAGTCACCCAATTTCGGTGGAAGTGCGCGAGTTCGATTGGGATTCAAGTAGGAAGGGAGCGTCTCAGCTTCCTCGGACCACGACCATTCGACTCAGCACCCCGAAGACTACAACTGGTGAAATTTTAATTTTTGCCTTAACTTCCCCTTTAACACCCCCCCCCCCGGTTCCTTTTTCTTCTCCTCCCCTTCTCCCTTCCTTGCCGTGGTTGGCTAACACCCTCTCTCTTTGTATTGGCCGGTGTTCTCACTGTGCTATGAGATGCTGTAATTTAATAATAAATAAATAACACGGGTCCGGTGTGAACACATGCATGCGTTAGTAGCTTCCACACTTCTTTGCACGGTGAAACAATCATGCTCGCTACTCGTCCGGCATTTATCCAATATGGTCATAGTTGGTGACCTGATATCAGTCACACAGAGTGCTTGTCACTGAGTACCGTAGAGGTTATCAAGTCATGCCGCGAACTGAACATGTGAACAACTTGAAACGGTTGTCTGGAGCAACTTGATGACTGAACAAAAGCTGATGACTGTGATCTCCTTCTGGGGAGTGATGCGGTGAAACCACGAAGCAGTCAGGGTCTTGCTCCTCAGTCTATGCCACATGTCGCTGCCACTCTCGTTGCTGTTGTTGGGAGGGTGCTGACCCTGCAAGGTAGGTCTTGTCCTTTCACTTCACAATAGTTGAGAGATCAGAAGGACTGCTTTTTGCCAGAAGTTTGCAGCCTAGAGTGGACTATGTGGCCAGGCGTGCATTTACCGCCTTTTCACCAGGCATGCCGGTTTAACCACCGTTTCTCTGCTAGCACCGGAATAAAATAAAATAAAGTAAATTATCGTGTCCGTTCCCGAAGGGAACTCACGACGGCCGCTAACACCCGGTAAATCCTAGCGGCAGATACAGCGCCTAACGGTGGGCCGGGGGTGACTGGATAAGTCTCACAACCACTGGCACAAGTGCCGAGAACGACCCCATTACTGGCATTAGCTGCATCCATGTACTCCTTGTGCCTGGCCACAAGTTCCCAGTTGACTGTGGGTAGCAGCACGGCTGGAAAAACCGCTCCCAGGCAGGACTTGAACCAGGTACCTCTCGTATCTCAATCATGGTCTTTGACCAACCCACTGTGCCTGCCTGGTCTAGCACCGGAATAGTACACTTATCAAGAGTACAATGGCTGTCATGGTACTCTTGCTAATATGCATCCACTGAGGAGAAGAAAGACTTTTTAAAGTCATTGGCCCATTGAGTCTATACCCATAGGAAACATAAACCGATTCCTCATACTCACACAGAATGGACGCCGAGCTGTACAGTACTTCAACTGACTGTTACGTTGTGACATTTTACTATGAAATTTACAAACAAAAAAAGTGAATGCCTTGATAGGTATACAGTCATGGTTTGATAGTCTGACTGTGTGCACGCAAAACTTTACGCACTGCATATGAAGACATCGACGTAACTGCGTCGAAAACCGGAAAACTTCATAATGTCGACATCCCCATCCATACGGAAGACGTGTGCGTGCAAAGGTACTGGTTAGCTCATGCTGATGATAGGTGACATAGCCGAGTGGTGAGCCGGCAAGTGGTCAGGTGACCACTGATAATACATGGCCAGTGCACAAATACAAAACTTGATTCGGGCGAACTGCGCGCACTATCAATGACATGTTGTGCTGCTGCAAAGGAGGCACGGCAACATTCCTTATTCTTTATTCTGCTAAAGATGCTGCAAGAAGCATCCTGCGTCGGTATAGTCACTTGATGGAGCGTTGAAGGAAAGAGTTGAGGCTGAGCCCAAAGCCCCTCGCAGTATTGGAAGAGATCACGGTTTTCTGACGCTACCTGTTTTCCTGAATACAGCTAACGCACTAGGATGAGGACGGTATAACAACACTTGAGAGAAGGAATGGGTTGTATGGCTTTATAGAGCACTGTCTTGTTGGGTGAGAGTTCCCCGAGGTGAGTCGGCCAAGCGGCACAACCTGCATAAAAGTAGAGTATTCGTTTGAAAGAAGGCTTCGTATCATCTACAGCAATCGTGTTTCATCCGATCGTCAATCAGCTCCCAGCTTGTCCGCCATCATCGGCTGTTGTCCCCGTCTGTGGTTGACTCGGGTTGCTCTGAGCTTGGCTTGGGTTGCTCTGTAGCTGACCCGGGTTGCTCTGGGCTTGGCTCGGATTGCTCTGGAAGTGCTGTACACAATTGAACACAGAAACAAAGGAACAGATTCCTTCAGATTTTTTGAAGACCCAACAGAAAACCTGGACTACAAATAGGACACAATCAACAGAATTGGAGGTGAGAAAGAGTGGCAAGAAGACCGTGTGAGGGGAAATGAAGCGGGTTGGCTATCCGAAAGTGAAGTCATGATAAGCAAGTCAGTTGCTATTTTAGCAGGTAGGCCTAAGCTACCAAACATGCATTCACCATACAACTACATGTACATACAAACACACAAGTAACTGTTACACAAGTTATATTTAACGCGAGAAAGCTCCAGAATCGGTCCGGTCATGATTACAGCCCTCTGAAATCAGTCAGTTCCCCCCCCCCCACAAAATCCCCTACGTACCTTGCACCTGTTACAGAGTGGTCAGAAATCAGGTCTACACTATGGCCTCGCCGGCCTGTTGCAGTGCAGCAAAAACCTGTTCACTGGCCACCTGTGGCAGGTGGTTAGTATTGGAAGATTATTGCAATCAGACACTGCTGGGTTGGGGAGAAAGCGTCTGCCCGCCTAAATGTGTGACTACAGTGCTGCTCGATGTAATCCGATCTTGTGCTCCTAGGTCTGCGGTTGCACAGCGCCGGCGGTACGACCCTGGCTGAGTCGATCGGACTTCAATGAGCAGTACGGTGGACTTTTTTCTCTTTTTCTTTCTAAACAAAAGCCACAACTCAAGAAGAATGAGAGCATGCGGTGATGTGTAAATGACCTTTGACGGAAAAAAGCCAGAGTCAATGTCAATGACTCAGAGGGGTAACATGTACATTGGTGAGTAGACATGCAAGAAGGGCACAATAGGGCCTTTGAAACCTGCACTATGACATGCATCCAGTACCTGCACTATGACATGCATCCATTATGCACACTGGTACATGTACATCTCCACTACCACATGAACGTTAAAAACAACTTTCTGCCAGCCTCACACCCTCACAGAGTGCCACGTCAATCAATGGCATCGCATCATGCACCATGCACCACGACAGTGTAGTATGAATAATGCATCACGCGGCGAAATCAATGCATCACGTGGCGAATCAATGCATCATTATTGCATTATGGAGCAACAGTATCCGTCTGGTCACCTTCACTTTCTGCAAATGACACTTTCTTGGGACCCTTCAGCCATGCCTGGACCTCCTTAACGCTACGACCGGCACGATCTCCCGACTCCTTGCCAGGCGCCGCTTGTCGTAGGATGCTGCCGCGCCGAGGTAGCTTACCGAGCGCAATCTGCATTCAGTTCAACGTGACAGGTAATGTTAATCATTTTAAGTTATCAGTGATCTCTAGTAGTGCATTATCACGTGCATACCAGTCGAAACCATGGCGACTGGTAAAAGCCCAACGGGTTAAGTTCAAGTGGTACATGAACACGATTTTAGCGTTAAGTTCTGAGTCGTGCCTGTGCATAGACAGACAGCATTGGTTAAGTTGGGTCAAGAAAGTCACCGCATGTCTGTCAGTAGAAAGAAAGCCATCACATGTCTGTCAGGAGAATGGCATCAACCAGGGACCACTAAAGTTACAATGTATTGAGGCCGTTCTGGTTAGGCAATTAGTGGATTGACGTGACATCATTGAAGGATACGAGTGTTTTTTCTTCTTCAGCAGAATGAACACATGCACAGTTGAAGAGGGTTCGATTATTATGCTGCCAGGAGTTCTGGCCATCACCAATATACCTGAAGAAGATTTGAGGATGCCATGCACTGCGGTGCTCAGCTTCATTGCATTTTGTATTCATTCATACCCCGACATTCAAGCATGTGAACAAACGGCATACAATGTACTACTACCACTACGGCGTATGCATGTACCACACCCTATTCATCATGCATATGAACACGCGTAAGCTCAAGTCAAAGCAAAGCACTCGCATTTTTGAACATTTCAAAACAAGACCAAGACACCTTAGAGACTGTAGAGTATTGCGATCACTGATTAGCAGTTATACATACCGTATGTCCGCACCTTTAAAGCCATGGAGGTATATTCAATTATAAAGCCAGTCTCAGTTATAAAGCCATGGGCTTCGTAAATGAAATGACATTTTAAGTAGGTTTTGTAAAAATGAAGGAATAAGTACTATACTATCAAACTTACAACCCAGCAGGAAGGGTGAACAAGTGGATTTAGGTTGAATTTTCTGTGTGGACTTTGACTTTTATGGCATGGCGTAGTGGGTGAGTCATTTTACACCTAAAATAGCTAGGAAAGCAGCGGGGTTTCGAATATAAGGCCATGGCTTTAAAGGCGCCGACATACGGTAATAATTATACAAGTACAGATGTTGTTTACAAACACGGGTCATAAACACAGCGTATCCATGCAAACCCAGACTGAGCACGATCAAAGTTTAGTTAGGATTGTGTCACGCTGGGAACATTATAATACCTCATTGATGTTTTCTCCCTTAACCACACTACCACCACCACCACCACCACCAAGACTACTGTCCTAGACACTGACCCGTTACTGTCCCATAGGCACGATTCTCAGTTTCAGTTCTCCAGGAACTGCACTGCTGGCCCTGCATGATTGTGAAGTGTGCACATCCAAAACCTGGGCTTCACACAGTAAATTGAGAGCACTCTCTCACTGCAATGATAAGCATGCACGGGCATGCAGAACAAGCACTTTGCCGTGCCACGCCAAGACAGTGTCACCACAGTGTGTGACGCCGAGTGCTGCACATACCTGCGAGCTCTTGAACTCCGCGTACAGACTGAACATCACGTGAAGTGCTTCTATGCGACTCTTATGTACCGGTATGTCCAACAAGCCTGCATTGAAGAGAGGGGGGGGGGGGCACACACACACACACACACACACACACACACACACACACACACACATGCACACGCGTTAACACCACGCCAAAGCGAGTCATTGCTCTGCACTGGTTGGCAGATCTGCTGTCCAACAAAGGCCATAGGCCGGGGAAACAGGGTAAACCCCATCGCATCCCAATCTTATACTGTTTGCTCACGGCAAGACGCAAACCCACTGGGGTGGCTCTCCGCACTAGCTAGACAACACAGTCAATGGCATGACCTCTGTAGTAACTTACCGCAAGCAATGTCTACATATGCAGCGAGGTCACAATCCAGGTCAGCAGATGGTAGTGGCAGCTGTACATAGAGATAGGATAGCACTATGTTTTGAAAACAACACCAGCTATGTACATGTAGAGCGCCGTGATGGTCTTAGAATTAGGCCGGGCAGAGTGCTGATCCAGTCAGATAGAATTAGGCCAGGGCAGAGTGCTGATCCAGTCAGATAGAATTAGGCCAGGGCAGAGTGCTGATCCAGTCAGATAGAATTAGGCCAGGGCAGAGTGCTGATCCAGTCAGATAGAATTAGGCCAGGGCAGAGTGCTGATCCAGTCAGATAGAATTAGGCCAGGGCAGAGTGCTGATCCAGTCAGATAGGCCAGGGCAGAGTGCTGATCCAGTCAGATAGAATGTTGATGTGCTCACTACTCTTCCTTTCAGTACAGTAGAGCATTGGTAGTGTTCCCGCACACCAGTATAACTAGAGCATTGGTAGTGTTCCGCACACCAGTATACGAAAAAATTGCTCTTCTAAATTAGGCAGGTGGTGTTTCCACACAGACCTGATCGTGTGCCAAGCAACTGTCTGGGGACTGATACGACACCGAGTCTCTACAGTCATTAGAACCTTGCACGTCGTCTTTGACTGTGAGGGAGCCAAGGACAGTGGCACGTCCATCAAGGAAACCAGAGAGCTGCCAGCTCAGCCCCCCCCCCTCCCCCTCTTCCCTGCTATGCTTGCTCTTTTTTTAAACCTAACTTAGGCCATCATATGAACTCATTTTCCTCAGCTAGCTAAGCTGGTGATCAGCCACGCGATACGTGTAAACGCGGATGCTGCCAGCCCTCTGCCCTCTGCACTCTGCACTGCGGCCACAGCACCTACACTGTACAACTCTTGGGTTGGTCACATGATCAGTCATGTGACATGCCAACATAGCCGACACATACTACACACAGACATGAAATAAAACACGACGGAACCTGGTTACGGCAAACGCAACGTATTTTGCATAGCTTCTGGAAGTAAGGTGGGTATTCCCAACGTCGGAGGTCACCCTACCACTTTCTTCACCAATTACCGCCGATGTCGCAACATCTTAGTTCGTTCTGAAAGTAAAGGGCAAGCTAATTAATACAACTGTTTTGAAGGAAAGTGTTGTCACAGGGCTACGTACATCCTTGAGTGATTTCTCATACTCTGCTGGCCATTCCTTCATGAGCGACTCAATATCTGGCATGGGTCTAGGGCACAAAAAGAGGAGGACAGAACACCATCGGGCATGTTAGAGTTAATAGATTTCTGTTGGTACGCTCGATCATATTTGAGTCCGACCAAGGAAGGTGGCTCCTCCGAATATTAGAGCGCGTGTTTCCTGCTGCCTGACTGGCACTTGGCTGGACTCACGGCTCACTCAGTCCGTCGGCAGGAAGCACACGCTGCAACATTCGGAGCAGCTGCCTTCGTCAGATACTACAGGACTGCCGGGTGCCGAAGAACGGGCAGGCTAAGATTTCACCAAGCACAGCATGCCGATATTGTATACATGGCGACTCAACTATGCATAGCCTGTGGTGTATGAAAATAGGAATGGTTTGGGCTACGAGCCCCTCCCCTGTGGGTTAAGGTACCCTCTCATTCTGCCCGCTCACACGTGTATAATTGCTCTACAGTCCCGAGTGACAATTCCCAAGTGTTTCTCACCCGGTGTAGTTGACTGTAGGAGGTGGTTTGTGACGATGAAGATCACTGTACAGCACACAAAAACAAAGGTAACTATTAGTGAGCATATATCAGTTTCTAACGTGCAGTGTTGGTCGATTGTCATCACTCTGCCATTCCATCAATTGTCCTACACTGCAAGCTGGTTTCCGTCACAATGTCCTACCACCAAGTGTCTTGCAACGAGTGTGATAAATGAGAGGATAAAACACGCCACCCTGGTACATACGTGATGTTCTCTATCCAGTTGTCAATTGCCTTGGTGTTCTTGCTGCCCTCCGGTATACTGTGTACGGTCTTTGAAACACACGCGACACACAGGCGACACACAAACAAGCAAACAGATCGCACAACTCAGACCAGTGGTGTGCGCTACAACCGGCGGCAGATGAGATAATGTAAATAGCAAGCAGTACCAATGCATCATGCCGCACTCGTACTTCACCGAGTACACCCACATCGGCAGTATCTTTAAGCCGGCTGGGATGATGATGGCCTGATCTAACTCACCACGTGCTTTGCTTGCTTCTCCTTTGTCATTCTGCGTAGCTGGAGGTCCATGACTGCAGTGAGAATGATTCACAACATGATGGGTACTGGAGTAAGCTTGTGTTAGTCCAGGTGCATGCGTCTGTCCTATCTGTCTCTTCCAGCAATAGGGAATGTTCATGTCCAAGAATTCACTCGTGTAGGCCATCGTTCACAACATTCGATTCGACCCACTACCAACTCAGAGAAGTATGCTAGCCATGCTAGGACTGCTGGGAAGCATAGTCACTATACCAACGGAGGAAGTACAGAGCTGCTGCAGGTGTAATGGTGCTATTTTTGTCTGACTGCACCAGGATGACCCCGTATTCATTTGAGACTTGTGGCACGTGATCGAGATCCATTCTCACTTGGATGCACAATCATCCCTAATGCGGGACTGTCACACATGCAGTGTTGTTGTAAATACCAAGCACTCATGCAGCAAAACACCAACTTTAGTAGATAGTCGCAAGGGATGGGAGTGCTGTGGGAGTGCTGTGGGGGTGCTGTGGGGGTGCTGTGGGGGTGCTGTGGGAGTGCTGTGGGAGTGCTGTGGGGGTGCTGTGGGAGTGCTGTGGGAGTGCTGTGGGAGTGCTGTGGGGGTTGTATGTGTAGGTTGTGAGGCACGCCGTACAAGCATCCAGCACAGCACAATGACAGACACACGGAACACACGAGGATGCGAGTGGAACCAACCTGTTGGATCAGACTGCTTTGCACACGGCTCGTCTAAAACTGTCAGGCCGAGCATTTCCGGCTTCCCGTCCGGTCTCTCAACCTGCACGAGCACATGCAACATCATTCGCGAGTACAACATATACCTAAGTGATACAAGCTGCACACGTGCGCAAGTCACCTGCGGTGAGGTGCATGTACTATACTCGGCGTACTATTCGTCGAATAACATTAGTTTGGAAATCCCCTGGATCAAGTACGAGATGCGCCCGGTCCGATTACCATGATTGCCTGCCGCATTGCCATTTCCCTCAAAACCTAACACAGATTAGGTTCTCTATCTCGCATGCGCATGTAGCAGTGCTAACCTTAACAAACCCGTCTATGTCTCCGACAGCCGGAAGGTATTCTGGAACGAAAGGCCGCAGCTTTGTCTGCAAGTTGACATTGGTTGGTGAAAATCTACAGCATGACATTGACACATAGTTAGACACACACACACACATGATCAGCACCGACTTAAAACATCTTCAAAGTAGGGAAAGAAACAGTTGTATGGTCGGAATAGTATCAACACTTTAAAAATATGCTTCTGGCGCTCTGAATGTCCCTGGGTCATATACTAGCAGGTTTCTGAAGAACTGCAGCGTAACTATTTTTAATAGACCTCTTCAACTCAGTGTCCCACTTTCAAACCCAATGACGTCATGGTGATGAGTCAGCAAAACCGTTTATCGGGCCCTATGTATACAGCGCAAGTGAGCGGAACCACTTGTGGGTGCCATGCATACAGCGCGAGTCGCTAGCGCATCGCTGTGCCACGACTTCGCCAAAGCATCTAGAGTTCTAAACGGATTGGATATAATCGCATGTCCTCTATAGCATAGCACCACTAATAACGTAAGTACACACTACTGTCCCACTCCATTTCATTGTTTTACGAAGATTAACTGCCGTTCTGTGTCACAGTGTAATAAGGTAGCTCATACTCACTGTGTGATGTGCTTGAAGAGCTCCTTCACCTCCTCCCCTACAGGTAGGTTGTTATACTCAGCAGCATCGTACATTCTGGACACGGACAGTTGCAATACACAATCGCCAGCAGCGAACATGTTTAGAGAAAGAAAGCCAAAATTCTCCAGTGATTCGAGCAATCCCCTTTCAAATACAGAATAGCATTTGAATCCGGGTACTTCAACTAGGCACAGTAAGCCTTTAAAGGACATAGCAGTAGGGTCTGCAGATTGGGCGCACCATACTCTCCAGTGTGCTTTTTAAAATTATCCAGTACAGGAAGGCACAGTACTCCTCTAAGAGATACCTCAACACAATACATACACTGGGTCCTGTCCAGAATATTCAGGTACGAGTGATGGTAACTTGCTGAGCCTCCTCGGTGCTGGTGGACATGGGGGAGCACTGTGCACGTCATCAGGAGGAGCATCAGGCGAGGATGCGTGCGCTTCCGCCTTGTTCGGCTCAGAACTGTTTACGTCCGCATCCAGTTGCCTGAAGAACGCACCTACACTAAAATTGCTAGCAAGCGTAGGAGGAGCGCCTGGCCCGCCTGTGCTCTCACTGGGTCCTTCGGCTCCGCTTTCTTTTCTCGCCATCGCGACAAACGTCGTCTTCGCTCCAGTACACTGGTCTTGCAGACGCTGCAAGGAACAGCGAGTGATGCTCAGTGCTTGAACGTGCCAGTACAGCGGTCTGGTCGGACGCGCCACCAAGTCCCTGACGCTATCTAACCTGCTAATGAGTACTGCTACCACTAAGGAGTAGGTATATACGCGCTGCACACACGCATATGCACACACGCACAGGCAACGTGAACACGATTCCTTGGTTATCACTTTATCCAGTTTGCTGTATGACGAAAACGTTGACAGTACCTATGACCGTAGTTTGGTGACCTAATCACATCGACACGTAAATAATGGTTCAACCAGAAAGGATGCGTGACAATCGGTTTCAAGCAAATGCCACATAGCCAGCAGGTTTGTATTGCATGAGACTAAACGGAAAAAAGAGAATGGGGATGCTCGTGCACAAGTATTTAACTTTAAGAGCGAGGTATGGTTAGAAGCGGCAAGGAGGTGACAGATTCCACACAGAAAAATGCCAATGCTATCACGGTCCCCACACGTGCGCCGTGTGAAACATTGCGCTCATATTTCCACCTAAGTTTAGGTAGCACTCGTACTTGGGCTTTCGCAAAATGGATTGGGTGCTCAGCTGCAAAAGCGGTGCTACCTGCACTCGGTGTGAGAAAGCAGAGAGTAGTACAGTGGTCCCTTTGTAGTCCGGCACCATTTGTGCTAAGGAAATTCTGCTGGATTAGGGAGGGTGCTGGATTAGGGAGGGTGCTGGATTAACAAATTCGATTGACTGCTGCAATGTGCATGTAGAGTCGGACCATTTGGTTACTGAAAAATTTGCTGGTTTATAGAGGGTGCTGATTTATAAAGTGCTGGATTAAGGAAGGACGACTGTAGCACGCACTACTGTATTATATACATACCGGCGTATAAAGTCACACCGTTTTGCACTAAACTCTCAAGGGCAAAGAAAGGAGTGCGACTTACAGTCGAGTGTAATATTCTACGCTATGTGAATATATTGAAACAATATGGCTGAAACCTGAAAATGGGGGTGTGACTTTTAATCGGGGATACACGGTCTGCATAAAGCATCGCCTTGTGCACGAAGATCAGAGGTAACATGCTGTAAGGCTCTCCACTTTGTGACATGCTATGTCATGCTCGGCCACACTGTGTCCGCTTTTCTCACTTTACTTCATGCACTATTTCACCACGGTCTTCTGGCATTTGTACATTGTGCCTATCAAGGCAATGGACTGAAATAACCAAGCCAGACCGCATAGGTACAGTTGTAACGCGTGCTCATTGTATTGCCGTGATAGTACTCCAGTAGGGCTTACTCGAACCAACATTGACCGGATCAAAGGCCTATAACTGTAAGAATGCTAATGATGGCAAGTTCAGCACTGTTCCAACACCGGCTACACATGTAACTCTACTACTTCTGCCCCACTTGGGTAATTGGTTTAAGTACGTCAAGCCTAGCACAGGTACGCCACCTGGGAGAATGCCACTGTGGCCCAGGTGTACAAAAAGGCTAAAAAGGAAAGCAAGTCAGAGCAGCAGGATGTCTCGAGAACTTGTGAGTATTTCGGGCGGTAGAAATGTGCGTGGACCAAGAAGTACAGGATTGTCAGGAATGTAATAGGGAGAGAGACAACACTCCGAGTCCATGGTCAAGCAAGGTCCACTTACGGCACATTGTCGCCCTGTTCATCCTCGCTGCCATCCTCTAGCTCCTCAGAGTCACCAGGATCCTCACTGTTCCGACCGGCTTGTCCATCTCTCTGCACATTAGAACACCAGCAAATGCCGTCGGCGGTGGTTACAGAGCGGGATGGGTGCATTCACTGACAGTTTACGGGAGAGACGTTCCGTTCTACATGGACTATAGGGAAATAAAAATAAAAATTCACGGCTTGTGTGATACTTGGCTGGAGGCCCAGTTTTCCGCATCCGTAGTAACGCCACCACTCTCCATGGATCAAGGCGCAGATGCAGCTCCTAAAGCGGTGCAAGGTGAGTAGGACAGACCCCCCCCCCCACAAAGTGGGTCGCAGCACCGCTGCCGGGAAAAATCCTTCCGCTTCCAATCAGGACTTGATCCTGGTACCCTCTCTTTCTCAATCATGGTCTTCGACCATCCCACTAGTGCACTATACCTGCCTGTGTAAATCATAACATCAGGGACATAATCATTCATAAGAAGAGCTTCTTTAAGATCGTGCTTATGAAGAATTTCAAAGGATCGGTTCGGGAAGTGAACTGCCTGAAAAGAGGAAAAAAAATGCCACCTGTCCATAGCGGCCACATTCATCACCCTAGAGCTTTGATAGGTTTCACAGTACTTCAAATGGACACGAGTACAGTCCATTCATCGGAAACTGGCCCGCTGGCTTTTGAAAGTCGGATTTGGGCCGAATTGAGGATCAAAAACCCACTTTAAATCTAAAAAATCTGGGTTTTGGATCTGCTTCTCCACACATTTTGCCATCGCATACCTGTCCTAATTTTGTAAAACCTGGCTGAATTTCTATTTCCCTGTTCTTGGACTTTTCTGGCCTCAAATGTGGCAAGGAGTAATTGCACGGGTCACACAATGCAGAATGTACTCTTGTTTTCACGATATCTACAACTATGTGAGAGAGACACCAAAAAGTTAGGGTGTCAGTTTCCAATGAATGGACTGTAGGACTTAGTATGGTGCAACAGCAAGATCAGCTCGAATTTGACACACTCCAGCGCACATGTACCTCGTGCTGCAGAGGTGAGACTTCGGCATGACCTTGCAAGCGCTCTCGATTAGCTACTGCCGCTGCTGCCGCCGCCGCTGCTGCTCTGTGACCATCATCATCTTCAACGCCATCATCACCTCTGTCGTCATCATTTAGTCCTCTGGCATCGTCAGACTGTGGCGGGGTGGGCATGACTAATTGCTGAGGTGGGGCTAAGTTCACTGCACATGTACAGTGGGCATCAGCAAAGGAGACGTGTGACCATGCATTGCTCTGCTCATTACTGCATGTAATACTGGTAGTAGAATGTAATGTGACACAATCAAACAATTTGAGTGAGGTGAAGAGACACAGCAATATATCCATTTCGTTATATTTTGGATAATCTTTAAAAAAAGATTCATTTAAAAAAGAAGAAAAACATGAGAACGGGTTATGCAGCAACTATCCACGACTGTAGCAACACGATAAACGGTCAGAACGTGCAATGACTAGGGCACACAACTGACAGGCTACTGAGATATTCAGCGACCCGAGACCTAGCTCTAACACATCTCCAGTGCGCAAACCAACAACTGTAGTCAACCAACAGCTGTAGTCAACTCGTCCACAATAGTGTCATGCATGAGCAGTACCGTTAGATATTGGCGTCCGGTTTTGTACAATTCGTTTTCGCAAAGCGTCCCCCTTCCTTTATCTCTGATATTGCTGACCCATCCAAGTTGGGTGGTGTGTTGCTTTGCTGCTTCGAATTGTAGTTAGACCGAATTGCCATGTTATTAACTGGTCTCGTCATCGTCCTGTAACAGTCGGCATTCTTTGTTGCCGTGGGACTTAGCTTGTGCACATTTTCGCTGCGCTCACCTTCCCCTCTCCGGTCCTACGTAACCATGAACCTTCCAAGTTGGAAGGCTGTTGGTTTGCGCATTGAACATGTGGATAGTTGCTGTATAACTCGTTCTCATGTTTTTCTTCTCTTTTTTACATTTTATTACTGGCTCAGTATCCGAGTTTAAAGATTCATTTTTGTGACTTCATGGCGAAGTTCATATTTGGGTAGCAGTTTAAAGTGTTCCTTTGGCCTCAATTTGAATGTGAACTTTTGCATAAAGATGCACCTTGACTTGTTGGTGGCACTGAGCCGAATTCTAGAATCCTTTCCTAACATTGGTGCTTGTCATGTTTTTCCGCCTAAACTCTACATGGCAACAGTCTCAGCAGTACGTAACAATCAAAAGCATATGACCTCCTCCCCCCTTCCCCGAATGTTCATTCACTTGGGAAGCTTGCCCAGGGGGTGCTTCTATGTGATGGAAAAGCAAAGCAAAATAGGAGAGAGGAGAGAAAAAAAAAGCACAGGACTACATGAAAATGAGAGAAATGCATGTAACAGTTGTGACCACGTGATGTGAGTTTTCCTCATCGTCCCGGAACCCCACATGCAGAGCTGGGCAATACATGTATCTGGCCGGGGGGGTATGTACCATTGGTGCACTACATGAACTCATTTCTCTCTCTCTCTCTCTCTCACCCATCCACCCACATACGCACGCGCGCACACACACACACACACACACACACACACACACACACACACACACACATACGTGTGTGCGTCACATGACTGTCTCACGCTCAATCATGATCACCTACTTCCGTATGGTCGTTCACTCTCCCCCACTCTTCTTTGCCGATCTTGTTCGTTGTTACCACGATCTGATTCTTGGTCCATGTAGCTAGCACGACTTGGTACGTTCTCACCATCCACAACGAGCAGTTCCTCGTCGTAATGTTCGTTATCTATGCGCCGAGTCTACGCAATGTACACACGTGAATACAAATCATATCAACGATGTTCTGCTCTACATTTCAGGAACGTGACGCGAAGAATCCCAGGAGCACTATTTGTGTTCCCGTAACATATAACAAACCTGGTCTGCTCTACATCCACGTAGAGAAGCCACGTGGAATGTGTACTGGGAATCTCTCAGTGTTCAAAATTTGGCAGTTGCCTGCCTGCATTTGAATGATACCCAGCAGATCCGTAAGCATTTTCTTTGCGTGTGCCACAACGTAGAGAACCTCATCTATGCGTAGAAATCTGGACCCAAAGCACACAAAAGCCGTAGGCTCTAACCCAGACACCTGCTATCTACGTGGTTTCTCAAAGTTTCACGTTGAGCAGAACCTCGCTACTATATCAGTTGCAATAGCTACAAACCCAGCAGTCGGAGATCATCATGAACAATGGACTGACTAATTATTCACTTGTCCTGTCTTTATAAATAACATGTTATTGCATATGTTCTTGGTTTAGGTTTTGGCCTTTTTCGTGTTTTGGAGTTAATAACATTTTCCTCACATTGTACAGCTACGTGAACTCAGAAAAAAAAAGAAAAAAAAGTGCATGCCATAATAAACTACTTTGTTTCTACTACTAGCTAGTATGATCCCCTCACCCAGTGAGCGGGCTAGTGTAGTTAGTTGTATTGGTGGCGGTATGTTGGATGATCAGATCGCAGGTCTCACCTGGAACTGTGCGTCGTCACCTCCCACCTCGGAGTCATCCATTCCCTTGTTCCGTCGTCACCACTCCGACACAAGAACAATGCTTTCCCTATGTGGTGAAAATGAACGAAAATCCAGTTCAAAGAAGATTTGGTTCACTGGTACGGCCAATGTTGCCTATGTGTGCTATGGCGCAGACCGCTGGACCCGCACTATCGTAGTCACCAATAACAGCATGCAGTAGCTTTGCGGTCCTGCATGAGCGAACTCGAACACTAGCAGTAGCAGCAGGCTAACCTCGAATCGCTAGAGAGCTGAGAGCAACTGCACTGTTACGTGAAGAAATGAAATGACAAGAAAGAGAAATCATGGAATTATTTTCGCGCCGTGTAGATGTGTATGTGTATCACTGACACACACACGACACAACAGTACAGTCTGTGCTGCATTGTGTAGATCATGCCTTCAGTTCAATGCTTCATCATACATGGACTGGTGGTCGTCAGATCAGACTCCAGACACCGTAAAAATAGCGGTACCGCTCAACGTGCCGCGTTGCCCCGGTGAAATCGTCATGGTGACAACTATTTCTGATTTCTGACATGACGACTTTTTTTAGTACGCCCTTAGCCTTTAGGCTTAATAGTAGTACTAGTAGTACTACTAGTAGTAGTACTAGTACTAGTAGTAGTAGTAGTAGTAGTAGTAGTAGTAGTAGTAGTAGTAGTACTAGTAGTAGTAGTAGTACTAGTACTACTAGTAGTAGTAGTAGAATTTATTATTTTGATAGGGAAGGCCCTACAGACGTTGCCGTCTTGTTACAGGGAACCCTAAGTGCTGCTACTAGTGCTAGTCCTTACCATGCTTACGGCCTTAGCCTAGGCCTTACTCAACTTCTCTCTCTCTCAAGTTACTGTACTTGTGTGTAGTTTAGGCTAGCGACTTGAATGTCACTTCATCAGCAGCTTATTTAAATCTGTATCCTACCAATATGTAAAGAGAAAAGGACCTATAACTTAGTATAAGTTACCAGTTATGACTAACAGTCCACCAAGGTAACCAAGGTAACGAGATAACAGTATACTAGTAGTGAGATAGTGCCGCGACAACAAGACACAACACTGACAAGTGACAGGGATATTGAGACATTCGACGACCTGACACCTACATTGATTATGTAGTTCCAACACATCTACGAAGCGCAAACCAACTTATAGGTAACTTATAGGTCCGTTTCTCTTCGCATATTACTATTGGCTCAACATCCGAGTTTATATCCTACCAATCTTGATACTAACCGGACCCGCAGGCCGAAATGCAGTACTGATAGTGATACAGTCATGTACCAGAGCTGCCGGGAAGGTACATTTTAACAATGAGTATAGTTATTGTACACATGTATATCTACGATGCGGGAAGTAGGCGCTGATGCCGAGACAATTGCCCATTGGCATTGATCAGCGGAGCCTGCAACACCCCATCGCCACCGCTGCCTTGCAGTGCAGCCTCGTTCAGTCAATGTCTTGTTAGTCTGTTTCCAGTGGTTTCCTTTGTCATTTCCTCCTTCCTTCGTTTTTCACGAATTGTGTCCGTTAAACGTTGTTTTTAAGTTTATGGTACATAGACCATGCATATAACTTGGAGGTAATAGCAAGGGAGTTATGCACTCTCGCCTAAATACTAAACTTGCGGGTTGTGCTTCATAAAATTTGGAAACGTTCGAGGCTTTTTACTTCTGCACAGTCTAATCAGTATGATTCTACTGTTCTAGTTCTGGCCAGCCCTTTCCCAAAGATGCCATCATTTTTCGCAACTTATGTTTTCACAACCTTGACAAAACAAGTGCTAGTTGCTGAAATCGCATCCATATTTTCAGAAAAAGCTCAAAAGTTGCTTATATCGCAACTTAAAATTGGAGAGTTATTGTGCAAAAAACACCAAAAATAGGAGCAGAAATAGCAGAAGTGCAGCGACAGCAAACTCGTACACCCCTCCCTGCTGTGAACCAGCACTTTAGACAGTGCCAGTAGCCTGTTGCATGTATCCTCAACTTGATGGCATATCTAACTCCAGTGCCATGGTCCATGCCATGGCTATGGTCTTTTAAAATCTTCGCTGCGTCTACATGTACCTTCTCCCTGTAAGTGTTTCAAGTCGTTGGTATTGTCCTTACCATGAGCTTTCCAAGTAAATTACAATTGGTTGGAAGGCTGTTGGTTTGCGCATTGGAGATGATTTGGAGCTACATGACATTGTATAACACGTGTAATGTGTCAGCCCGTTGAATGTCTCAGGACTCTATCAGTTTCGTGCCCAGTTACTAAGTACAATGTAGTATCGCACCAATGCACCTGATGATTGTATATTGCCCAGTTGCAGTTGTCGACCGTTACTCATAACTTCATATCAACTTCCTCTTTCTCCTCCGAGTGCACAAGTACAAGCCGGGGGTAATGTGGAAGTGATTCTGGCATTGTCTGTGCCGCTAAAAGGCATAGAATTTAGTGATGTAAAGAAATGTGATAGCCTGGCTGATATTCAATGTCACTTCCTAGTGGGCAGACCAAATAAAATACGGCTGAAATTCTTCATTTGTGTGCATTTGGTCCATCATACGTCACTGCTGGGTGTTAGCATTGCCAAAAAGTCTTTGCTAAAAGTTGCTCAGGATGTTAACGGTCTAGTGTGGTGGACAATGTCGGTCCGGTACTGTCACTTGCTTCTAGGCCTTCTTAGCTTTGTCCATAACTTGCTCCTCAACCTTCCTCGCCTTGTCCACGCTCCTTGACCTTCCTCATCTTGTTCACGCTCCATGGCCTTCCCTACTTTGTACATGCCTTGCTCCACAAGCCTTCCCTACCTTCGACATGCCTTGTTCCACATATTATTGTTGGGGCAGCATCCGATTTCATACGAAACCATAATGGAAAGCATAACGGCATTGTTGTCGAGCATTCTCTGCTACAGGTGGTTAACGCTGTGTAGTGAAGAAGGGTCTGCTTGCCTGTGATCAGATGTCTGCTGTAAAGTGGCGTAGAACTAGAATCTTGTCGGAAACCTCCTTAGCGCAACCTTACTACAGCAGTACCTTGGTTTGTCCAGCTCAGACTGGCATTCGAAGATTGTCCCACGCAAGCTACTGTAGTAATTGTACTGTATCTGATTAGATGTAGTGAAAAATTATAATATTAAATAATTATTATTAGCTCGTAGCTGTACTGATGAGGCCTTTGTGGCCGAAACAGCTTGCTGTCTACAGCGTTGGGTATTATAATAAATTAATAAGGCCAAACTAAAGAAGGTGTGTGGTTCGACTAACATGGACATTTTTTTTACGGGCGGGCGGGCGGATTTTTTTTTTTTTAATATATTTTTTAGTACATGTAAATACACTGTATTAGTACGGGGGCCAGGGTTGAGAAATGTGAAGTTTCGTTTCCACTGAGAGCGCACAACAAAATATGTACTTTATCTTGTAGCCCTAGTCGTGTAGAGTCGCCTGATATATTTTTCACCCCTGGAATCGAGATGGAACGGTGTGGAATTGGTACTTGAAAGTTTCCCATGGGTTGCCATAGCAACCGCATAGCAACAGTATGGCAACAGCGTGTTTTTCATGTTTTTTTCTTCCACAGAAGGTCCAAATTTGTTGAGGGGTACATAATATGTATGTATTCGTGTCAACTGACACTGCTACTAGTAAAACATACATGTACATGGAGTATCATGCACATCGTGCACTCTATTGTATCAATGCGAATAGTCATAATTATAGAGTCATGTACATGTACATGTACTACAGCATTGTATACAGTACAGTTATCATATCAGAATACAGTGTACTGGTATGAAGGAAGCAGCTGACTATTTCACCACACGCAGAGATAAAGCATACTTTATTCCGCAGGGTACTTGTACAATCATGACTTCCAGCACGGGAAGTCAGTCATAAGTACAAACAGTACAAAACATGTACATGCACATTGGTTACGATTCCAGCAGTCATGCGCATAAAAGTAGACAGAAGGCCAGTTTCGATGGCTCACAAGAACATGACATCATTATATATTTCATCGATAATAATGTGTACAAGAGCATGGACATAACAGATGCTGTCATCAAGTTTGACTTCAAGTGGACTCCGGATAGTCGAATATCATTGTAAATACACGACTATTATAGAAGGCTGTCGTACGATATGCTTCACGTATTATTTATCTGCGGGAATCTTCAATTATCTTGCACAAGGACTGGCAAGATTGTTTACGGCAGTGAGGAGAAAGATATCATCAAGTGTCATCACTCAAGGCATTGTCTCTATTCTGGCAGCTTTCTGCACAGCCACACACATCCGTGCAGTGCAAGGACTGGGCTTTGCAGGAGCAGCGACCTCCACTGCAACCGGTCTTGCAACTGCACTTGACGAACTCAAGGAGGGCCTTGGGAGCGGGCTCCAAGGACAACCAGTCAACTTGGAGCTTGCCATCCACTAGCTTCCAGCCTTGGCCATCGCTGAATGGAGGAGGGATGTCCGGCTGGGGCTCCAGCGCCCGTCTCCACACAGCAGCTTGATAGTTTGCTCTGGCAATGTGCTTTAGCAAAGCATCTCTGCATGGCGGCAAGCGGCTGGAGTCTTTCGATGTTTCTGCGCTGGAGAAAAGCTGATACCGTGCATCGTTGATGTCGGCAACGCCACATTCGTACAGCAAGCAGGTAAACTGCTCAATGGGCGGTACGTGACTGGACGAGATTTTGAAGGTTTGACCCAGGGAGGACATAGCAGCACGAGCACGAGATCCCTTCTCACCATCAGCACGTATCAGACTGAAAGCTGCTGCCTTGCCACGGCCATGGAATGCACTGACTGTATCACATCCAGTGAAAGCATGCATGCCCAACAGAGCACTGCAAGTGCAAGCCGACTGTTCAAGCTGACTTCCAATGGCCTTCATGTCAAGTAACCTCACATTACTCCTTGAGCCAGTGAGGAAGTACAGATTCGCTTGCTCCGGAAATGATGCACTAAGGCAGCATGCAAGAACAGCTACATCAGTATCTGGTGACTTGATGGTGATCGATGTGTAGCCATTGTCAGCAGCATGCTTCCCATGCAGCAAGAGCCGAGTATCAGCTTCCTCATGTGTGCACTTCAGCTCAATGCAATCTGCCTTGATCATTCCAGAACCAACAGTTGATGAAAGCTTGGTACATAGATCTCCAGCCGTGACAAAGAGCTCTCTCCCACAAAGATCAGCTGCATAGGTGCTAATGCACCATTCTGCCATGAAGAAAGAGATGAGCTCTGTCTTGTTCTGGCTAACACTGAGGAACTTTGACCATTGTGCTGGGGTCTGCTG